AATTTTAACAAGATTACGTTTTGCAACAAATGTCCGCCCTGTTAGCTTTTCTCTTTTTTCCAACTCGTACTCGATCTTTTCTTTTCCTTTTTTCTTTCTTTCTTTTTTTTTTCTTGATCCATCTGACGATATTGCGTAAAAAAAAAAAAAAGAAGAGAATCGCATAACACAGCTTTCTGCAACGAATATCGATATCTTGCACAAGAGATGTTCCGCACAGGCTTGCACTGATGCAAGCTTGGTCCATATTATTTTCATTTCCTTACGTATTTTTCTAAACTAAGTGGTAATTATCTGAAAAAAGAAATTTCAACTCCTTTAATCTTGATCTTAGGATACGTTGCAGAGAGGAGAGCCCTGAGTAACTATCCATTTGGCCAAAAACTGGAAGTTAAAGTAAAAAAGTGATTCAGAAATAATTAACAAGAAATTTTACATTACACTTGCTCACGATGAATAGTTAAAGTAGTTGAAACTGAAATTGCACATGCATTTCCATAGGATTGTGATTCTTATAGTAGCAAAGTATTAGGTTAGGTTGTGTTAGGTTAGGTTTGGGTTAGATTAAATTCTGCAAACTTCAAACTTCACATTGATTGATTCAGTGCTATATTTAGATACAATCGAACCACGACCTGGAGACAAATTAGAGTAAATGTAATGTAACAGGTATAATTTTCTTTACGTATCATGCAATTGATCTAAAATATGAAACGATGGTAGTTGAGAAGCTACGAATAAAAGTAAGTAGCTGAAATTGAAATTGCGTATAGCATCTGCTTAAAACTGCGGTTCTTGATAGGTAAGATACGATTAAGTTAGGTTAAGTTAGGTTAGATTGTTTCATTCAATCTTCATTTTGATTGGTTTCAGTTCTATATTCGGCTTCGTAAGCTACGATTATCGAAGAATTCGAGCAACGAAAGTGTAATGTTGCTTTTTCTTGTAAGTTTGAAAAACATAACCTCACTCAGGAGCTTTCCCTCTACGATAGATTCGAAATTCAACGAGATTATAGTTGAGGATATCTCTTTTCCAGTTAATTTTCAATTACTGACTAAACTTATGAGTTACGGGACGAGTTGTTTTCCTTACGACTAACAGAAATTCACTGGCATTCTATTCGCGAGGAGCATCGCAGTTGATTGCATGACGAGCTGCCGATGCCAACAGCCCTTTTCTTATCTTCCTTTTTCTTCTTCACCTTTTTTGCTTTTCAACCGGCACCAAAGTCTTACACACTCGGAAGTCAAATAACCGCAGACTTTTTTTTGCCAGATAAAAATTCTTCGGATTGAAGTAACATAACCTCGAACACATTCTCTGATCATTCTAATTATCGACCTTCATGTAGTATCGTCGAGTTAGAGATACCTCTTCAATTACCAAAGATTCAAGTATAGTTCATTTTCTCCGCAAAATTAGTAAAATAAGAAATTCCAAAATTAAGTAACCTAAAATTGACCCAATATTGATACCATTTGAGGATTGATAAATAATAACAGAATTTAATTAATTATTTCAACTGATTTATGATTCACTAGACGGTGTTTAAAAATATTCTGATTTGACTGTACGTGCCTTCATATTATCGATATTTCTACTAAACTTTTCTACTTCTTTAACTCCTTAAGGATTTATTGAATTTTGGGGAAATATATATATAGAAAGAAAAAAAACTTTTTTGTTTTATTATTTTGCTACATATACAGCTTATAATTTTGCATAAAATACTAACTATCGGGAAAGAACTTTTATATATATAATAAATAATTATATACATAATATATATATAATAATTATATATTATATTAATAATTATTAATTATTATATAATTATATATATAATATATATAATAAATAATTATACATGTAAAATCCAGCTGTATTCACAGTGCACAAGAACCAGTGGACCTTAAGGGGTTAATCAAATGTTTTACACATTTCAAGAGCTAAAAACAATGTTAAAAACCATGGCGAGTCAGTCGATGGAAAATTCAAACAGTATAAAGCATTGCTTCCGAGTGTACACGAGTTTGCGTTTACCCGTAGTTATATATATGCGAAGCGATCGCCTATATTTATTTCTGTTGAGACAGACTCGCGGTAATGATTTTTGCTGAATTGTCCCGGAAGCAACGAATTGATTTCGCTTTGTAGCGATTGCACTAGCGTGGCAGGGTAATAGTATAGGACACGAGAGACTAGTTTCGGTTAATTGGGCGTTTGCACGTTCGCTCAAAAGTCTCTGGACATCTCCCACTTTTCAATGTAACTTCAAACAAGATATTTCGATACAAGCCATGGATTTTGAATTGTATTCCATCTGTCATTAAAACAACTTTCTTCGTCGTTTAAACAAACCTTGCTACTTTAACAATAATAATGATCATAAAGTCTAGGACTTTTGAGCGGGGTTTTATCTATTTTTGTCTTTCTTTCTTTTTTTTTTTTTTTTTTATAATTTCGAGCCTTGGTCAAGAGTGTGAAACCGAAGGGAGCGGGGTTTTGAAGGGAGTACAAATGAAACATGTGTGAAATACGCATGCCGAACAATGTACAAAACACAACTTGTATAAGTCGAGCGACGTCGGGCAGACTGCCTTCAAACGACGAAGATACTCTTTTGGTGGAAAACACATCTGGGTATCTATTTACGCTTCTACAGCAGTTTTCAGCGATTCTGTTCACTGCGAGTACAGTCGAGTCCTCAGTTTCGCAGAAAATGCTTTAGAACGTTCTAGCAGTCCGCATTTACGTCCTCCCTTTTTTTCCTTTGTTTCTCGACAGGCGTTTCAAAGTCGTTTCGAGATCTTAACGACGAACGTCTCAACCGTTTCTTATTTGCATCCCTTTTGGTCGTATGCTCGTCGATAAGGGGGCCCTTTTTGCACTACTGTCTCTTTTGAAGCTCGTTATTCAAGTAACGCCGAGGTCGAGTGGAGAAGCCGATGAGATCCAAGATGAGAGAACCTGTATTTTTAACATCTGACGATGACGTGGTTGTTGAATATCGAGGGTTAACCCTTTCGCTACTGGAACACGGCACCGTGTTAGAGATCAAAATCTAAATTTTAAATGAAAGTGGATTAACATTTCTCGTCTTTCCTAAGAATGGTTAATTTAGACCTTTTCTTTTTATAGTTATTTGATCTGAAATTATCTTCAGTTCTTTCTAAGGATATGCAGTATTTTTACAAAATAATAATGATCCATCAGTAGTAAAGGATATATAGTATTTTATATATAGTATTATATAATAATAATAATCCATTAGTACTACCTTATTGAATTATTAATAATTTGTTCAATAATTCAAAATCTAAATTTTAGTTTCTCGCCTTTCCTAAGAATTAATTTAGATCTTTTCTTTTTGTAGTTATTTGATCTGAAATTATCTTCAGTTCTTTCTAAGAATATACAGTATTTTTATAAAATAATAATGATCCATCAGTAGTAAAGGATATATAGTATATACAGTATCAGTAGTAAAGAATATATAGTATTTTTATATAGTATTTTATATATAGTATTATATAATAATAATGATCCATCAGTACTACCTTATTGAATTATTAAACGTTTGTTCAATAATTCAAAATCTAAATTTTAAATGAAAGTGGATTAACATTTCTCGCCTTTCCTAAGAATGGTTAATTTAGATCTTTTCTTTTTGTAGTTATTTGATCTGAAATTATCTTCAGTTCTTTCTAAGGATATACAGTATTTTTATAAAATAATAATGATCCATCAGTAGTAAAGGATATATAGTATATACAGTATCAGTAGTAAAGGATATATAGTATTTTATACATAGTATTATATAATAATAATGATCCATCAGTACTACCTTATTGAATTATTAAACGTTTGTTTGATACCTGATTGAAATTTCAAAAAAAAGGAAAAAAAAAGATGTAAAAGAAACGCGAATTTTATGAACGGAACTGTAACTCAACTTCAAGTTGAAATTTTAAGAACAAGATGGCGTTGAAACGCGCAATTTGAGGCTCAAACGATTACTACTAATTTCTGGTTATGGTACAGCCCGCGTTATTTTGACCGTGAGTTACTTAAAAACATTTCACGATTTACTCGCGTTACTCTGATTACTTTTTCCGAAGAAATCCTTCGAATCGAAGAGCAACTTTGATATAATACCGTATGTAACCAAATTTGAGGTTATGGTCACGCGTGGCGAAAGGGTTAAATAATGGTTTCGGAAACAATGAGCTTCCTCTCCCGTACGCTAAAAATTTGTCGCTTGCTTCGTATTGTACTATTTTTTCGTACGTGTGAACAAAACTACTTACGCTTTCCTTCTATTTTGTCAGTGATTCAGAATATGTTGTTACTGTATATTTGATGTATTGTTTGAATACATATTTTTGAACGCTTTCGTGCAGTGAGAGAGCTTTTGGTATTTTACTCTGTTTTTTGGTAGTTGTTGTTGCTTACATATATACATATATATATATAAAAAAAAAAAGGAAAGAAAGTGCAGGCTATAAGCATAAGAATTATACTTCTCTTCGCATTTCATCGATGCTCACACCAGTTAAGAAGTGTTTTCATATATCTGACGTTTTGGGTTGATCATTGGAATTCTCATCTCTGATTCAGTTCTTTCTGTCTGACTTTCTTACGGACGATGAAACAAGCAATTACGTGAGTCGAGAGTACGTGAAGTTTTTCTTCTTCCCTGCCTGTCACTGTCGGTGACTCGATGATCTCTCTGTTTTCACTGCAGTAATAACAATTGGGAAATTCTTTAATTTTCAATTTTTTCCCTCTATCGCACGACACCCTCGAAGTGACGTGCAAACAGAAAGGATGGTTCGATTCGCGAACGAATGGAACGAAACAGAGATACGTTAGACCCCCGGGTTGTTTAGTTTCGTTAAATCGCATCTTAAACGCTGGACGATCCGAAAAACCGTCCGTCCGTTGATCATCCTCTGGCTCACTTGTTTGACCGGCTGATCCCGTCGATTTTCCAGGTGATAGCTGTGATATCAATACTCTTTATTGTGCTTTCGACGATCGCACTAACTCTCAACACCATTCCTAGTATGCAAGTGAATGATGAGAAGGGGAACTTTCAAGACAATCCGCAGCTAGCCATGGTGGAGGCTGTGTGCATCACGTGGTTCACCCTCGAGTACATGCTTAGGTTCAGCGCGTCGCCGGACAAGTGGAAGTTCTTCAAGGGCGGTCTGAATGTGATCGACCTGTTGGCAATACTGCCGTACTACGTATCTCTGTTCCTTGTCGAGACGAACAAGAACGCGACCGACCAGTTCCAGGACGTGCGCAGGGTAGTGCAAATCTTTCGTATAATGCGGATCCTGAGGATCCTGAAGCTGGCCCGCCACTCGACCGGGCTGCAGAGCCTCGGCTTCACCTTGCGCAACTCGTACAAGGAGCTGGGCCTGCTGATGCTCTTCCTGGCGATGGGCGTCCTCATATTCTCGAGCCTCGCCTACTTCGCCGAGAAGGAGGAGCCCGGGACCAAATTCGTAAGCATTCCAGAAACCTTTTGGTGGGCGGGCATCACGATGACCACCGTCGGATACGGCGACATCTACCCCACGACCCCGCTCGGCAAGGTGATCGGCAGTGTGTGTTGTATATGTGGTGTCCTGGTAATCGCGTTGCCCATTCCCATTATCGTTAACAATTTCGCCGAGTTCTACAAGAACCAGATGAGGCGCGAGAAAGCGTTGAAGAGACGCGAGGCGTTGGAGAGGGCCAAGAGGGAGGGCAGCATCGTGTCGTTCCATCACATCAATCTGAGGGACGCGTTCGCCAAGAGCATGGATCTCATCGATGTCATCGTCGATACTGGTAAGCGAAGCGAGCCACCGGAAGGAGGTTATACATACATGTATAATGTTCACTCTGTTTGCGTAGGACACGCTTAGAAGCGTAGGTGGTGTATACACACGTACGTGTATACATTGATCTTTTGAACCACTTGCGCTGGCAACCGATTGCGGACCATAACGAGTGACCAACACCGTACAAATACAATAATTCGTCGCTTTCTTCTCGAACTCGTCGTCGGGTACGATACTACTGGATGGAAATTACTGAGAATTAATAAATTTATTATTATTTGTTTTGCCTCGGTTGCATTTAATACACTTGAACATACTGAGGGAGTATTTGAAGGCCCAAAATTGCAATGCTTTCTCAGTTTTAAGTATATTGATATATAACCCGGGCAAAACAAATAATAAATTTATTACTTCTCAATAATTTCCATCCAGTAATACCGACGAGTTCGAAAAGAAAGCGACGAATTATTGTATGTATAATACGGTTTGGTCGCTCGTTATGGTCCGCAGTCAATTGCCAGCGCAAGTGGTCAAATATCGAGCGAGCTTTTACGGTAAAGAATTTTGCCATTTTGTAGATATTAAATAAATTTCAGGAAATAGGTTGTAATCTTTATACGAAGATACATATGTACAGTGACATGAAACTTTATGGCGGAGAATCTTAACGTTTTACTTTGTAGAATGTGTCGGCGCAGAAGTAAATTTCAAGAGATAGAAAATAATATTTTGGTAATGTACCAACATGAAATGGATCTCACGTGAATTTACAGCAAAGAGTTTTAGCATAAACTTATTTTGTAGAGTACACTGGTGGTATATACAAGCAGGTTTCTCGAAGTAGTGTATTTGATGGGGGCGATAAATTTTATTACAGAAGTACTTACTCAGTAATGCTTCGCAAATATACCAAACTCAATTTTCGTATTACTATTGTATTACGTTCTCTACATTCATTCGCGAGCAATTTTTATTATTTCAAAAAGTTCTTTCTTTTGTATTCTTGATACACTAATGTTGAATGCATATTAAAATGTATGATATATTAAAGTATGTATCAAGTTAAATGAAATTAATGGCCCGATGAATAATTTGTTCTATTAATTGATGATTTTAGTTCTTCTAAAAATTTTTTATTTCGCTTGAAACGATTGGACTTAGAAAAGCAAATGTTTGAAGTATGCAATAATTTGTCTCAAAAAGTCAAAAGATCGAAGCATTAGGAGAGTAGTATATTGTTGAAACGTATCACATCTCGAATATAACACTGTTACAGAAATTTCTAATATTACGAACATTACAATTATCAGTGTTGTTTCTAAATATAGTTAATTACACTTTCAATATTAACATTATATTAATAATTAATTACTGGCAACTATAAAATTTATTAATGGTAATATAATTCTTTTTTAATTTGCTAATAATAATTTATTAATAATATTAGTGCTATATATAATTTATTAATACTGTATCGGTATTATAGATGAAATATTTGTAGGTGTTTACTCTCAAAGAGGTTGTTATTTTTTTTTCTAAAAATAATTCTAATAATTCAAATTTTGTGAGTGTAATTTCTCCATAGAGAGATCAACGTTTTCGTGTTATATTCGAGAAAAGTCAGGCTGTAGCTCGAGTCTTACTGTTTGTCAATTAACTGGATCGTTTTCTTTATGCCCTACTTTAAGGTTTTCGTTTTTCCATTATCTCCCAGTGTTCTTTGTACGTCGTCACATATTTTCGTAGCGCAGATCTCGAAAGATTTTTACCTTGTTAACCGGAATTGCTCGGCTATCTTCTATCACGAGAAATGTCAGAGGTCTCCGGGGATTTAATGAAAAGTAAATAACTAATTAAAAACGGCGCTTTGGTTAGCATTTCAGGTTTTGTTCGAATTTTAATATGTTGGAAAGAGACTTAATAAGAAATTTAATATGTTGAAAAGCAAAATACTTTATTATTTTCATTGTTTGTTCCTGTGTTCGACTGTTAATAGAAATTGTGAAATTAATGTAATCCAATTCTGACTATACGCTCGAATTAGGTGAAAAGTAATCAAAACTAGGCAGTGAAAATAGATGTTCGATTTAGCTTTTATTAAAATAGAAACTAATCCTCAACTTAATTCTCTAGATCTAGATTTATGTTTGAGTTTGGATGCTTTTTAAAAATGAGTTTGGGACAGGTCAATAGAGCAAAAGATTGCAAAATTCCACGTTAGATTTCTTCATGGTAGTTCTTTCATTATTTCTCATTATTCACAACTTTTCTCAATCTTCAAGTTCATAATCTTGTTGCATATAAGCATCAATGTTATTTTATAACGTAATTAATAAATTAAATTTGAGGTGTCTTCAAACATGGACAAACAATTTGGGGTGTGTTCAAACATGGACAAACAACCCTCAAACAAATTTTGGGTACATTCAACCACAAATTTCTGATTACAATTAAGGACCTTTGTAACAGTTTGTGATACTTTTTTAACAAGGATACTTTTCCCAATGTATTAGAATTTGAACAGAGCTTGAAATTTCCGAACAAACAGCAATGTTTGTAGAAAACGTCGAGAAACAGGTTTATACTCTCGACTCGTTTATTCCAGTTAACAAGGTGCAATCGTACTCCAGAGTGATACCGAATAGGACCATTATGTCACTCTCTACGCCCATTAACAGCGCCCTTTCTCATTCGTTTTTATACTTCGATCATAAATTTACTGATAACACAACATACACACACACAGTACATGGTAATTACACGCGGCATTACACACAGTGATACACACGTTAATACTAATGCTAACGCATAAGTTTTTATCGCAGCGAAACGTTAACAATTTATCAACCCTGACGCAAGAATGATGAATTTATCAGTTCTGGCGCAGGAGCAAGGTAATACGGGGGCCACACTGCTAGAGAAACACTTTGACCACCCTCTTTATCGACTTTCTCATTAAACTGTTCAACTGCACTGTATTCATATGTATTCACGAGCCATGGGGGATAGGACATAGAACGAAAGTACACCGTGAGTCCTCGATCTTCGAAACTCGACACTTGGAAAACTTAGTGGATACTCGGTCTTTCGTATTTCGTACGAAAGTGGGACAAATAGTCGCGTCGCAGAGTTGGATATTTAATTCGTTGCTTCGATTTAAAATGGGACCAAGCTCTCTGTTCCTCCTTAATTTATACACGTACCTGTCTTCTTGTCGTTATTTATAAAAATTCGTATGATCCTTGAACGTTAAAAATGTTTCTCACGTACATAAGTGTTACAGATACTTGAAATTTTTCTGTATGTAAATTTTGTCATGCCCGAATTAATTCGAAATTTCAGTCGAGAAAAATCGGATCGCGTTTGAAGTTCGAGGGTTCACTGTATTGTCATCCATCGATCGTGTTAGTTTCATTCTCTATCGCAGTGTTTCCCAATCTTTCACGAGTCGCGACCACCTCTCATTGCAGTCGAATAATAACGTGTGATTTTAATTTGAAGGAGTGACTCGAGGTCTAAAAAATATTGAAGGCTCGACATGGGAAAGAATTAATGCTTCATCAACTTTTTGATGATGTAAGTATTGAAGAGGTCGACTTTTATCAACGATATGTAAATGTTACTCTTACGTTTATCGATTGACGAAAAACTGACGATAGAAAGTACGTCAATTTATTATCTCTTTTTGGAATTAAAAGATACACATATATGATATATTATAAATTTAAATTTAAATTGTTTATTAAATTTATTTATAATAAATTTAAATTTATGTTTATTATAAAATTTATTATATTATTATATTTATTATATTATATTATATCATATTTATTATATTTATTATAAAATCTTGTCAAAAATAGGCACACAATTTGTCGAAATTATGTTTCCATTTTTATTTTATAGATAAAGTTATACATTCTGCTAAAAGAAAGTACTTCATATACTTTTGTAAAGTGGAATAGGGCGGACCTATGGAAAGATATTCTACTATAAAATGCTTCTGTCTTTGCAAAAGTATCTTTGGCATTTTTTTACAAACAAATTTTTTGACTTGTATAATTCTCTTGTTCATGTTTTCAGTAACATAAATACTAGAGAAACGATCCAAATTAATTGTATATTCTTAAACAAATCCATTTGAAAAAATATCTATAACATTTCTTTAGTTTCACTACTCTGAAGAAATATTCTAATATTTCCATATTTAGTTTCATCCTCATAGAGTAAGATTCTTAATTGACGTAACTTTACCTAGAACAGAGCTATGAAAGAAACAGATAATTAAAAAATCACACTAGTTTCAACTTTGGCTATTGATTTTTTCCATTTGTTATATACCTTTCAACATAATCTTTCAATTTAGATTTTTCACGTAATTTTTAAATATCCTCTTGACATTTTTAAAATCTATAATATAATATAATATAATATAATATAATCTATTATATAATATTTTTCAAATTTATAATATAATCACATGGACCTCAAATCTCTTCTTCTCCCTTAATTGATTAAAAAATTAATCAGTCTTCTTTAATTCAAACAAAATTGGCTGGACAACAAAATGTTCAATTAAAACAAATAGAATCACCCTAAGTCAGTGCGTGCCCCCCCCCCCCTTTGGAGGTCGCGACCTCGCAGATTGGGAATCCTTTGCTCTATATCGACTTTGCTTGGTAGATTCACAAGAACGCGAGAAACACGGTAAACACAGTATCATCTTACTTTCGTTGTTTTTCTGTCGCGTTCCATTCGGCTCATTTCACTAGACCAACGACTTCGTTCCGCAGTCACTCGATTCTCATACGATGTTCGAAATTGAGACCCGCTAATCCTGCGTCAAGGTTGATGAATTGATGGCATAATGAAAAACATAATGGATACCGAGGCTGTTTTCAGGTCACGATATGTCCGGCGTGGATGGTAACAGCAAGGAGGGGGAATCCGTGTACGGACGCAGTCCTGCCCAGACCAGGTCAGGCTGTTATCCTAGCTATGAGCATTACGGTCCCTCGTGGCGTCGTTGCGGTGCCTCGTTTTCCTGCTGCTTCCTCGGGTCTACCTTGGGGGCCGATTTCACACGGGGATAACACGTATCGTGGCACGCGTATGATGGAAGTGTGTACATCAGCGGATGCAATTCTCACGAGATACAGTATCGGCGAGAGCGATGAAATTTTTCAATTTGCTATATTAAAGATATAGATGGTCGGAAATGGCCAGTATTTCCTCGATATTTATATCGATACTACTTGCCTATATGGAAAAGTCAATATCCGTTCCAACTCTTGCGCTGGGATGACGTGCCACGCTCGTCGAGAACATTTTTCTCCCAAATTGCAACATTTCCTTAGTTCTAAGTATATTTAAATGTTACCTAAATGATGTTCGTTGCTTCTTAATAATTTTTAATCCGGTGATGTCATACCGACGTGTTCGAAAGAAGAAGAAAGCGACGAATTATTGTGTACGATTCGGTCACTCGTTATGGTCCGCGAGCCAGTTGCCAGCGCAAGGGGTTAATATCAATGTTCGATATCTAGGCAAAAATATTGATTAGCGATCGAATCGATATCGAGTCGTCATCGACATCGATTTGTCACGATATCATGTCGAGTATACTCAAAGTAACGAGTACATACTATATACTATATAGAGTTAGTATATACTAACTGAGTAAGTATATAGTAACTACTATAGTTACTATATAAGTATATAGTAACTATATACTATAAGTATATAGTAAGTATATACTATATATATATTATAATATACTCGAACTAACTACGTCAGAAATTATTAATATTAATATTTTATGCTAAATGCATCGACATTCAATGCACATGTAGCTTCAAGAAAGTATATTTTCATCAAAAATCAGATATCGAAGCTTCCACAAAAATTGTCAAATGAGTATTGATAATCATAGAATTAGTATTTGATATTTCATGGAATTAGTATATTTTTCTACGCAGTGTCGTAATTATTGATATATCGATATCGATCGGTATTGCTGTGATCACTAATGCAACGCAGTTCTTGATACGCGTATCACGCCTAATCACGATACCCAACGTCTTCGTGTGAAATCGGCCTAACGAACAGCCTACCACGCCGGACAGATCGAAATTTGACATTCGTACTAATCAATCTCTCGCTTCTACTTGGAACACTTGCCCGAGATTCGAACAACACCGACCACTCTATGCCAACGTTGATGTCTACAAAACTAATCGCACCTCTCTAACTCACGACATGTCCGACGTGGATGGTAACGAGCTATTTTATTGATATATACATACATACATACATATATATATACATATATATATATATATATATATATATATATATATATATATATACATATATATATGCGTGGCTCACCATTTGTTGTTCGTTCCTTGATAATTCCAAAAGCAGTTCAACCGAGCAGATAAATCGGTCAAATAAATCCTCGCGCTCTCGAGTACTCTGCTGCGCACGTGAAAATAGAAAGGTGCTTCGATTCAAGTATTTTAGAGCTCCTTACTTCACCAGGTCACTTAATGCTCTCGGTGGATTCAGCCAGACGGCTGAATTGTCTTCCTCGGTGAAACATCCCTACGGTAAAACAAATAAAATTAATGAATTCACTTATTCATAGTGCACACGGTGGCTGTAACGTGTCTTAAAATAAGAGTTGCGTTAAACTTCGAAGTATCGACACAATCAAAGTTTTGTTAGAAAGCGTGTTAGAGAACATTTCAAACAAGGCAGCTTCTTTAAACGAAAGTTCGAATCTTAGTTTTTTAATTTTTTGAACATTGAAGTAGAAAGAATATAATAAAAACAAAAAGAAGTTTGAGTCTATAAAAAGAAGAAAAATATGTAAAATAGGGATTGTAAGAAAAATTGTAAACTCGAGAAAGATAAAAATGTAGGTAATTTCATTTGGAAATATCCTGTTCTAAATATTTCTAAATGCTCTGTACTTTTGCAAGAGTTACATTTATAAAAATTTTATGAGAATTTTTTAATAAAGAATTTCATAAAAATTGAATTACAAAGTTGGCTGGAACGATTCGAATAATCAATTTTCAAGCATGATGTTAACTTTGAGTAATGCTCTTGAAAGAGCAATTAGAGTAATTAGAGCACGACCACTAACGCAATGTCAAAGCTATCGTTTTGACAGTGGTTCTTGGTGCTCGCGAATATCATGTAGCACACGTAAGTGCACCGAAATACCAATAACCGTGCGATGTGACTCAACGTTCAACAGCCTTCGACTGATAACGCAGGAATGCATCCAATCTTTGTCGATATCTCTCTACGTACATATTTACCACGACGATCGTCTGGTTAATTGTTTCCGAAATTTTGTCGCAATTCAGATATGACAATGGGACAAATTCTGCGTAGCAAATGAACAAAATTAGTATTTTAGAATGAACAAAATTAAATCTCAATTAAATATCTATAAATTGTTATATATTGCAATATAATAATTTATCGATCTTCGTAGACAAAAGAAAAAGGAAAAAAATTTCTCCGGAAAGAATCTTTATTTTAAAATTTTAAATTCATTTTACGAACGTTTGATAAGTACTCCGAGGTATCCTAAGTAATTTTTTTCGAATTTTCAAACTTGGAGATGAACGATCCAATTTATGCACGTAACGTGAAAAAATAGGCCTGTCCGCCCATGAATGTTTAAAATCATTCGTCACGGCTGCTTTTGCTCTTGGAAATTCTTCTGCGACCTTTTCGTTCCTAACATTGACTTCAATTACGATCCGCGAATTAATCCGCGAGTGTCAATGTCAATCGTCGTTTGAAAATGACTTTTAAATAGTACTCTCGACCACGTACATGTCTCTGATACTCATCAACTAAATTAAGTCGTTACACGTTCAATGAACATGTATCTAATCACTATTTTATCAACACACGCGTCATGTCTATTTCTTTTTTAATATAAGTATAATTATTGTAACTTCGTTACTGAAACACGTGATATTAACTGATTTGCATTTCACGCGGCCGATTTCTATAACCAGCAATTCTACTGCTTTGATTAAAATTGCCTTCGATGTCTCGATATGGTGAAGTTTATGGCTTTGCCATTGCTGTATCTGTTTAATGATAGATCTTGGAAATTTCGTAAAGTTGCAACAACTGTATCTACTTTAACAAACTTTAAGAATAAATTTGATAACAGAGCGCGTAGATACACGTATGATATCGAGTGATTCTTGGACGAATAACCGTGTTTGTTGAAACAGTTAGGAAACATTTTTAATACAAAGCCAGTAGAAAATACTATTTATGTTATGTTCATCATTTTTTTAAATTTTGCCAACCCTTTGCAATTGCACGAACATTTTATTAGAAAATTTACGTGAAAAAGTTATTTCAAGGAATTTATTATGCAAAAGACTTCGATGAATTTGTTTGACAAGGTAAATTATTTCTTCGAGATAAAAACACTATGAAATTACAAAGGGTTGATGCCTCGATAACTACGTCCTCTTAAGTGAGTTATGTCTTTTCCTTTTTCAGGAATTCGGACGGTCTAGTAACAGGTATGTATTTACATACGTATATCCACATTCGACTAAAATAATCTGCAGACTCGAATACTCATAAAAACTGCTGTAACGAAGAAGATATGCGACGTATGCAAATAATAACTGCTGTCTCGTGATAATCAGCATACGGAAAGCTCGAGCTGTGCTATTAGATCCTTCGAGGTTTGCAAATTCAGTAAAGAGCATAAGTGTGCTACTAACAATGACAGATTGTCGATATTTTAAACTATTTTTTTTTGTTTAACTTCGTAAAAAAATTATATAATAATCTACTTGGCCTCATTTCAAAACACAGAATCTTCGCTTTGACAATCCTGTGAAATTTCTCTAGTTAATTGTAAAAATTCGAAAGCTCTTTAGAAACGTTGAAAAATTTTTTTCGTGACTGAGTCTATCACGATCTTGAAGATAGAAACTTTTTCTTTACAACGACCCCTTAAAACTTGCTGTACAATTTTTGTTCACCATTTTATTCAACTCTAATTATTAAAATTAGAGAACGAAACATTTCAGATTTCTCAGATTTTCTAATATCCAAAATTCAATAAAATGGCGAAACAAAATCGTTTCGAGCAAGTTTGTAAAGGATAGGATTCGATCTTCAAGATCGCGATGGATCCAATCATGAAAAAATATTTTTCAACGCTTTTGGAGACGTTTGAACATCAACAGTGCCTAACATGAATTCCTAGAAAGCCAAGTTGAGAACAGTATCTTTTTATATCGATTTTTTAAAAACTAAAAAAATATTCTTCCCAGAAAGATTCTTATGCAACAGAAAATTCACCTTCGTTTCACATAAGGTTTCCGTATCTCTCGAAGCAACGAACATTTGGCAGTTTCCTTTTATGTGTGTACGAATTACGAACGAATTTCTTCGAGATATCACGAGAACGGTGGACCCATTTTCTCAGGAGGACAGACCACGAACCGAATGTTGAACAAACGAGGAAATTTACCGTTCACCACCGACCGTCGTTACACGATTTTACGATTCACACGTTTGATCACGGTGAAACTTAATCCCATAAAAAGTTAGATTCCAAAGTATTCTGCTTTAAAAAAACTCTCGCCCATTCTTGCCATTCAGCTGTATAAAATAATAAATACAAGGAAAATTTTCTTCCAAATCACGCGAATTTTATCATTTTAATCTTTGTGAATACGAAGACGTTGATACTTTTTTTGGATTTTGTTGATACTTTTTATCAATCGTTTCAACACTACTGTAAATTTGTTGAGCTCTTAAGAGATGAAGATCAAGTTACGATAGTGATAAATATGCTTCGTTTTTTAAGCTTCTACGATATAAATAAATTTGTTAATACGTTTTATGAATATTTCTCAACATTTTTCAGCATTTCTATTGTTTACTTTAGTTAATCTAATTGTTTAATTAATCTTGTTGTTAATTGTTTATTTAATCCTTTTCTTAATTAGCTAATCCATCTATCTATCTAACTAGCTATCCTGTTTAGTTAATCATAGATTGCTGAAATTTGCGATGCATTGGATATTATTTCACATATCACATTCTCTGCAGTGGAAATTGAACTAAATTTCTGAAATTAAATAATTTCGAAACTGTAAATTCCAACAACAATGTTGATCGAATTCTTTCAACGTTAATAAATTTCCCTCGTAATAGAAACAATGTTGTCGACATTAATATGCTTTAATGCCTCTGTTTTAATCAAATTTTAAACTCGAATTACTGAGAGACGAGGCTGAGGTTACGAAGGTGGTAAATCCGCCGACTAAATCGGCCACGGGGTTTTCGGCGAAGCATACGGGAACGTGTGAAAGTGCAATGATGCGCGCACGTCCCGCATACCTGGCCCTCTTCGTTAGCAATTCCACTAAATCGCTAATCGTTCCAGGACTTTGTCCCGCGCCTCCTCCACCGCCGCCGCCACCTCCTGGTCAAGTACCAGCCATGAGGATCAACACCGTCGAGGTAAGTTGCAAGCGAATCTTGCCGATTTTCCTAACACTTTCACAGCGGGCGTCACATATACGTGTGTATACACTTGATTTTGACTGTAATATTATACAAAAATATTAATATACTTAAGTAAATAATATATATTTATTAACTTATGTAAATAATATATACATAAGTTAATAAATATTAATATACATATTAATATACATAATCCAAATAAATGAAAGTATCAAAAATATATGTACATAGGTACACCTGTATCGAAACATTCCAGGTGTAAATATAATTATAATCATTTAAATTATCATTACATATTTAAATATAATATAATATAAATATAATTATATATAATATATATAATATATATAATATAATATATATCATTAAAAATATTATGTATAATAAATTATATAAATATAATTTAAATGATCTTTATCGCCAAAGACGATCTTGGATCTTTTCTTTGTTCCGCGTTTACTCTGCTCCGGTGTTTGTCTTCAATTCACGAACTCGTTTCTCTTTATTCAGGCGTATTTAGAAATAATATGAATACGTGGTAAGAAAGAAGAAGACGAAGGAAATAGCCTCGAGCAAAAGTGAAATATCCTCGATTTTAGAAAAACGAAAAAAAACTTTCGTATTTAAAAATCTCACCTAACACGGGATAACGACGTACATATGTATAACGACCAGGAGTAACTTTCACTAGCCAAGTTTCATCAAGAATTAATAAAATTTTGTGAATTTTACTACGTATGATTATAAATCTGCAAATACACGTATATAAAGAGATATATTTAAATTTACTATAATACACTTTTCAACAATCAATAACGTCACCAATCGTTACAATATTAGCGGAAGCCAGAAATTTTTATTAATTAACTCAAAGAATTCTAGCTAGTTTCAATTATCAGGATCTTACATTTAGAGTGAACCTTCACTAAAATGCCTAAAATGTCATTGATTGTCATTAACGTTAATAATTCCAATCACATTCTCGAGCTTGAACAAAAAAACTTGATTATTAACCACTCGCGGTGGCAACCGATTGCGGACCATAACGAGTGACCAAATACGTACGCAACAACTCGTCGCTTTCTTTTTGAATTCGTCGGTATGTTGTCGCTATCATTTGTTTTGCCCATTTTGTTTTACCTAAATGTACTTGAAGCTGAGAAAATACTATACAATTTTGGAACAAAAAAAGTTCTCGATGCGCGAGGCTTCTGTTTTCCTACAATTAAAAATCGAAAACTGAGCAAAGATATTGAGACAAAACGTTTGAACCGTAGGCACCGACGACGAAAAGACCGCAGATCCCCAGCAACGATGCTTACGAGCCGCCAGCGGCCATTCAGAACGCGATGCTGACCAAGGATAAGAAACCGTTCACGTACACACCGGGAATGGGCGGGAAATTGGACCTGTCTCAGATCCGTAGCCCGCGAATGGCCCGGCGTGTGGCGAAAAACGCGAACGACGAGGGAATCGAGGGTCCGCCGAAGTCGGCGCTCGAACCGAAGCCGACACCGCCGCCGAACACCGGGGCGAGTTTGTTTGTTCAACCCCAAGTAGCAATCCCTGTCTTCCCGACCAATGTTCCGGTTCAACCGACCGTCAACAGGACGCCTGCCAACAAGACGCCACCGACGTCGCCTGCCAACAGGACTCAACCTACCAGTAAGTGTGCTTGACGACAAAAATTTAAACGTGCAACTTGTGGAGAGCGTTTTTCTGTTTCTTTTTTTTCTTTTTCTTTCTTTCTTTCTTTCTTTGGAGACTAAAAAATTTATAGAATATCGATGCAAGTGTAAGAATCATTCTGTCGTGTCGAGAAATTAATTAGCGGACGTAGATACAGGTGTATTAACACCTTGCGCCGGCAACTGGTTCGCGCGGACCATAACGAGTGACCGAACAGCGTAGAATAATTTGTCGCTTCCTTTTTCTTTTGAACTCGTCCGTTCATATCGATATCACTGGATAGAAATTATTAAGAAGTAATAGACTTATCATTTGTTTTGTCCGGGTTACATTTAAATACACTTGAAACTGAGAAAATGTTGCAAATGTTGGGAGAAAAGAATTCTCGACGTGCGTGGCACGTCATTCCAGCGCAAGAGGTTAATGATAAGTGTTCTAGTGACGTACACTTGGTCTGAATTAGAGTTTAGATTGGAGACTGCATGCCTGGTGAATATTTCCCAACAGATTTTCATACGATGTGTTAGACGATTCTCGCGAAAAGTTCAATTTCATGAATCTTCTGAACCCTATCAATCAATACTGACAACATCGTCATCATCGAGTTAAAAATTAAACTGCCAAAAGGAGAGCAGATCTTTGTACAATTTCATATTTCCACGAACACGATTAGAGAAATTTCATTTAGATACTAAATGTTTCATCAACTATCCTACGTGTTTTTGCATTTTCTGTAAATGCGTAAACCATCACGATCCATTTATCAACCAAAGAAATACATCGTTCCAGCACCAGAGAAACAACAGGAATCGCCGAAGCTCGTGAGCAAAGTAGAGGCCAAAGTAACTCCGACGATCACGATTCAACCGAACACGCCCGAGAGTGTCCCGAGCACGCCGACACAAGTGACTCTGGCAAAGGCACCGACACCGTGGCTACAAAACAAGAACAAACCGCAGGAGGAGTTGCCGGAATGGGCGAAACGTTCCAGCGTGACCAGGCAGCAGAGTTCATCCACGTCTTCGCCGGATAGCCCATCGTCGCCGCCGATTTACACGCCGTCCTCGATTCAGCAACAGACGCAGCAGCAACAGCCGCCACAGTGGCAGCAAACGCAGCAGAGGCCGCAGTCTCAGCCACCTCAACAGACTCAGCAGAGACCGCAGCAGATTCAACAGCCTCAACTGTATCAATATCAGCAACAGCAGCAGCCCCAGCAGTTCAATCAACAACAGAAACGTCCGTTCTCTAGTCCTGTAACACAACAGGTGAATGCTCCAGCGCAGCTGCAGGAACGCGTGATACCAATCCGCGTAAGTGTTTACCATATCATCAGGCACAATTGTTGTTCGAAGGTAGTAACTTCACGAGCTGGCTACTGGTAACTTGTTTTCGTTTCAACGATTGGTTGTTGTCAATGAACCAGACGTGAAAGTGTGATGAAGTGATCGAAGACGATTGCGATTGACGTTTGGGTTATCTACGAAGATTTCTGTTATTGGTCGGTTAGAATAGAGAAGCGTTTGAAGGAGGCAGCTTTAATAGTTGAATTGACGTTTATTTGAGAGAACGAGTGGTATAGATTTCACATCTGAGAGTAGAAGAATTTGTTACTGTGAATTCAATAACATATTTTGGATACATGGATATTTTGGATTTGGTTCTTCGATTTGATTTAAATTATTAAATTGGTTCGTTGATTTGATTTAAATTATTAAAAAGCGGAGCTATCTCCTTATTGTCTAACGAAATCCTTAATTCTGAACATGCAGTTGAAAAGTCACCGGAGAAGTATTTGAATCGCGAACAATGGACCAAAATTCATCGATATCGTCGAATTAAAATTATAATTACGTTGTTCGCTGTTGTCAAAATACGTCGTTAGATGCGTTAACTCGCATGATGATTGTATTCAGATCGAGGACAGACCTTCCGTGTTCGACGTGAAACCAGAGCCTGGTCACCATCAGTTCAAGCAACCGAGTCCGCACCACCAACAACGATGGGGACAGCAGCCTCAAAATCAGATCCAGATTCAGAATCAAGCCCAGAACCAGATTCAGAATCAGGTGCCTCAACAATCGTCGGGTGGTGCGTATATCATACCGATCATGATCGAGGGAAGCGACAAGAAGCCAGCTACTGGTGCTGCTACTTCCAACAGCCCGTACTCGCAACCGATCGTCAGGAACAACGTGCCCAACGTTGAGAATCCGAATGTGAAAGTGTAAGTCCGCTTCGGGGAACGTTGCGACTTTTACACCATTTGTGTGGTTGCTCGTACTCGTCGAGAATATTCGTGATTTCAAGTAAATTAATGTTCGAATCGTCATTAGGGTGACGCAGCGTATTATACCTGTGCAAGTGCAGCAGTCGGATTCCGGTCCGGTTCAGTCTCGATCGTTCAGAGTTCTTCAGAAGATCACAGACACCGACTCGTCGAACGACGTGGACACCGAGCAGATGCGTAAACTTCAGTTGTCGGAGGACGACAGGATTCTGATGAGCAAGTTCAAGGAACAAAGTAAAGATCTCTAAGTTTCTGAGTTTGAATCAGCTCTCTTCGCTTCCTCGGTTTGTCATGTGCTCTTTCTTTTTTTTTTTTTTTTATTTGTTTACAGTCGACAACGAATCTTCTCTTCATCACGAGGAAGACCCGAGATATCGCGGTGGAGCCATACCATCTCGCGCTTTCCGTTTCCTGCAGACTATGACGGAATCTGGCGACGCTCCTGCCCCTGTGAACACAAGTACGTTACAAAATCAGTACAAAAACTGAAATAAAACTGACGTTGCGTGGAGAAATCATTGCACGCCTCTAAATTTAAAATAAAAATAGAAAATAAATTAAGTCAATTTAATAAATTGAAATCAATTTAAAACAAAAGATTTGAAATTATTTTGCATACTGGTTATTTGAACGATTCGTATATGTGTAGTATTTAACGCACTGTAGACTAATATGCAAGAAACATACTCTACTTGCGAAACGAATGAGACATATTTTAAAATTGTATGTTACAGCGCAACGGCCACCATCCGCCATAAACAAGAAGCAGAACAGGAATTCGAAGACGTTCGGTAAGTAAATTAGTCAGGTTAAACTTTTCGTCAATTTCAAGCAAGAAAACATTCACGATCAGCGCGAACGTTTGCAGAAGAAACGCAGGCAAATCTACCACCAAGCGAGCAGCAGGTACCAGAACCGAAGAAATACATGGGCAGCGCGATTCCCTCCAGATCGTTCAGGATATTGCAGGCGATGACAGCACCGGAGAGCGTCGGTGAGTATCCGAGCGGCGAAATTTTTATCGCCACGTGTACGATCTCGCCAAATGTAAAAAAAGAAATTTCTCATCTTTCCAAGTGAAAAAAAAAAAAAAAAAAAAGAAAAGAAAGGAAACGCGAATACCCTCATAATTCATGCAGGAACACGCTACTCGTTCATGATGAATTAATCGCAGCAAGCTTCTATTGACCCATTGTACATTAATGTTCAGTGACAAGCGTCTTTACCATTCTAATGGACAATTAAAACACTTGAAGTAACGATTGCGTGCCGTCGCTGGAACATCCCCCGAAAATCCTGTGTTCACAGGAACAACGAAAATTCCTTGGTATCGGTCTTCAGCTCGGCGAAAATCCTCTCGACCCTGTCCGTTCTAGTTTCGTTGAGAATAATTCTCTAAATCTTTCTTTCTTCTATATATTTTTTTCTCTTTTCTTTTCTCTAGAAACTCGTCGCGAATGAAACTCGTGCCGCGAAAGAAATTTGTCACGCAATACCTTATTCCGAACGTTCCAACGTTGTATTTAACGATTGACACGCCGATCTATCGAGCGAACGGTCGAAATTTTGTTTCGTCAAAAGAAAAAAAAAAGAAAAAAAAAAAAAGAGAGAGAAAGTAACTGCTACTGAGATGGTCTTTAAACACGAGTAATTTAAAACGTTTTAACGAATACAAGAGTGCATGGGGTAGGTGATGTTATTCATCTATTTACCATCGATCGTGTAGTAGTACCGTAGTAGTAACAGCAATGCTCCTTGTAACGTCGTAACGATCGTCGTAACGATAAAGCCAATTTTGTCCACGTTGAAATAATAGTCCGTTCCTCTGTTAGAAATTAATACACGACAAACGTATGGACTTGGGTAAATTAACCAACCGGGAATGTTTGCATGTTATCTTATTAATCGATTTCACGCGTGTTTATATAATTCTCGCTGGGATTTTTCATGATACATAATATCTAAACTACAAGTGATCCGAAACTTGCATGCGAACTACGTACTACGATCATTCTGGATCACGATTGATTGGTCGATCAATCCAGTCCAAAATGTCGTACGAGCATGTTCTTCCTAATGGAAAAGTAACTGGAATCGCTTGTGTCCCGTCGAAGATCATCGACGAGCTGCGTTTTGCGTTCACAATTTTCGAACGTTTCCTTTGAACACAGGATCATATGTTTTTTCTTTCTCTCTTTCTCTCTTCCTCTATCTCTCTCTCTCTCTCTCTTTCTCTTTCTATCTATCTATCTTTCTATCACACTTTCGTAGCCGTTTCACTACACTTCGTCGCTTATCCTTGCTCCGTGAAAATCGCTCCGATCTCGCTTTATCCGTCGATTTTTCAGAGCCAGACGGAAAGATCGATCGATCGCAGACATTTATTTCGTTCTCTGACGGCTAACCGTATTAACCGTTTGGGTGAGGAAGAATCGAAAGTAACGGATATTGATGTTAAATTGTTACTCAAAAAGTTTGTATTTTAAAATATTTTATTTGTATCGATACCGCTTTCAACTTCATCCACTCTCACGAGATAATTAAATTATTCAAGTCTTCAAGCATCGAAATTAGAAATGAAACTCACAATTACGACATTCATGCGTTCCAGAAAAAATGAGGGAAGAAAAATCTCGGTCGTCTAAAAAGAAAATCATGCTCCAAACTTCGAAAGCACTGGAGTATGTTAGAGATTTTTTTTTTTAACAAAATTTTCTTACAACAGAATACATCCTTTTTGGCAAACGGATGGAGAGAAGGAAAGCTCTCATTCTTCGGTTATCACGTACAGATTGTACGTACAACATCGCGAATAAACATCTCGTGCAATCGAGATGCGATCCTTATCTAATCTCTCGTAGTTCTATAGATAAGAGAACGTGAAATAAATGTCTATCGCTCGTTCTTCCATCGCCCAGAACGAAGCCCAAAACGCGTGTTAAAGTGTCTAAGAAAGAAGCGGGTGAACGATGAGAAGCAGACAAAAGGCGGAGAAGCAAAATAAACGGCAAAAAAAAAAAAAAAAGGGAGAAACGCAAGACCACACCATACCCCAAATAGGAACAGTTGAACATCTTGTCTGAATGCATTGTGCTGTTTGTTGTAGCCACGCAAGAAAATCGTCAAGCAGATTACCACTGCCAAACAGAGAATAACGTGCCGGGCAATCAGCAGGGTGTCTTCCTCTCTCCCTGTCCGCCTCCATTTTGGACCCCAGACAATGGCTGGTGGGGTTACTATCCTCTTCCGTATCCTGGTGCCGCGAACGACTCCTATCCTTATCATCCCGACAACACCGCCTACGTGTACTTTCCAATTTACAATCATCAACAAAATTACCCAGTACCTTACCCTCAGTACGATCCGACGACCAACGATAAAATGAACGCGTACGCCAGTGTCTATCCACCTTACGTCGCCCCTGCTCCTCCGCAGAGTAACAACAATAACTGTAGCCATAACTGTCAACAAGCCGGTCGTACCGGCGAAAATCCCCTACTAGCAAAAATTCATCCAACGACGAACGTTACAGATATTCCAGATATTCCACAGAATATTCAGGAGCATAACCTAGGAGGAAACAGAGGATACGAAAGTAGAATTATAGGGGAGAGTGACGACGCGAAGGATCAGCCACAGGATCAGCAGTGGGAGAAAGGGAACAGCGTGTCACGTACGGCGAGCAACAGTAGCAAGGACAGCGATTGTACCACCGCGATGAATATCACCGACGAGGAGGAGATACCTGACGAGATCGTCATATCAGAGATAAACGAGGACGATCAGTGTCCGGAGATGCCGGAGACGAAGCATTGCCCGAACGGAAGTCTCAACGTTAACGTTCCGAATTACACTTACATCGACACGAGCGACTCCAGCGACTCCACCGACTCTGAGTCGCAATCCGACAACGAGTCGATCATCGAGTCGTTCAAAAGCGATTCCAACGATTCTTCTACGTCTTCTTCGGACAGCGACGACTCCGATTCTTACTTGGCCTATTCTACGCGGCTGAATGCTCACGGGAGGAGCACGGAGAACGACGACGAGAGGAATTCGTCAGGAAAAGAGTCCTGCAACGAGGAAGAAAATTCCGAGTCGTCTGACAAGAACAACTCCAACTCCGACGACGTCGAAGAACAGGAGCAGGAGTTGGAGAAAACGGAGATCGGCACTTTCCCTCATCAATTGAGCGTGATTTACGAGGACGTCGAACAACCGGAGTCCGAAAGTCCTAGACCTCAAGAGTGTCGAAGCGTCAAAGGTTGGAACGGGACGCCTTTTGAAGCGATCGACGATCCTCCCGACGATTCCGACGCGCCGACGGTCAGCGTCAGCCTGCCATTAAGGTTCAAATTCTCCGTGTCTGAAAACAACGAGGACGTGACCACGGTGATCGTCGGAGACAGCACGATCAAGCCCGAAAGAGGTTATAACAGGGAAGAAAGTAGGAGATCGAAGACTCAGGAGGGTAAGAGTCATTCGGAAAGGACTGCCGAAGTTTCCGCGAATTTTGTAGTTAAAAAGGAGAGTGTCAATGCCAAACGATCAAAGCCGAAGGATCTGTCTAACGAAAGAATCAAGGATGAAACCGTGGAGAGTAAGACGAAAGAGAACGAGGATCCGGTGGTACCTCACGTGAATTTCACTTTGAGAAAGATTCCTACTAGGTTTAGCAAAATCAATTGCGGAGAGACTGTGGAGACAGAGTTCACGATCAGGAGGAAGACGAGCATGAAGAGGGAGGATGACAGGACGAACAAAGTCCACGAAGAACGCGCGAATGTGAAAATTAACGATGATTCAGCGAGCAGAGAGAACAATGGGAGTAATTCCGTTTACGTGGCGAAGGAAATCAGTTCGGAGACGCGCGACTTTAACAGAAACGTTCTGAAGCCGGAAGTGATCGTCTCTGAATGCAAATGGACAGACGAGTCCTCGCAGCGCAACGAAAGACCTCCCGACAAGTTTCAAAACGCGGACACGAAGGTAGAACGAGTGGACGATACGCAAGAGAACAGCGACGATTCGAAGAGAAGCAAGACCGAGGAGGACGCCGAGGAGAAAACAGGGAAAGGGTCGAAGCACCTGCTGAGCGTACAGAATTCTCGGGAAGAGACGGATGACGAGGACAGTGGCGTCACTTCCGACATGAGCCGCATGATCTCCGAGGCAGACACCGACTCGGAATGCACCTCGTCGAAGAACATGAGGAAGTATCAGAGAACTCAGACGCACTCGAGATTGTTCAGGCTTCTGAACGACGACTCGATCCTTCCGGAAGTTGCCGAGAAAAGCAACGAGTCCTCAACGACGAAAGCCTACCTCAGCCTACCTTTGAACAGCAACAATTTCAATTACGACGAGAATTATTGTTCCAATTACTCCAGCGGCGTAACCTCTCCAGAATATTCGCCGATCAGCGAACAATCGTGGAAAAGGCTTCACGACGCGGACAGCACGGCGATACCGGATCAAAATGGCGACGTCTTCCGTCAAGGTCATCCCCTGACGCGATCCCAAGATCGAATTTCCTGCAAAGAGGACCCGTACTACCAAGCGTGGAAAACCTCGCGATCTCCGGCGCAATCGTTGGATCACGATGTCGTGCCATCGTTGGCCTTCAAGGTACTCGAAAGTAGAAGGCCGTTGTGGTCGTACAAGGTGAATGTACTCTGTCCACGGATCAAAAGTACAAAAAGCGTGCCGCAGACGTTGCGAACGAACAAACTGGCCGATTCGACGGTCGATTCATCCTCTTCGAATCCCTTGTCCCTCCAAGTGAACCTAAAAAGCGACCATTGCTGATGGCCCGGGGCAGAATGAGGCCGCGTTTGGCCGCGAGCAACCGGTCCACGGACGAGCCTCGCGCAACTTTTCTCTAGATTCGCAAGACTGGGCTGACTATATGCCCGGGGGGCTACAGGCTACGTGGTTTTTTTTTCTATCGGTACATATCGTTTCCATATATATATTTATATATATATTTATCTACTCGCATTTTCTTCCTGATTTTTTTTTCATTTTCTATATTTTATTTATTTTACTTATTTTCTCTCTCTCTTTCTTTCTCTCTCTCTCTCTCTCTCTTTCTTTCTCTCTCTGTCGTTCTAGTATATCTTTGAACATTTCTTTTTTTTTTTTGTCTTTGTTTCTTCTACTTTTTCTATTTTACTCGTGTCGTTTCGTTCGCGCTGCTCTCCAACTGAGCGCTGATCTTGTACCTAATCGATCTTATTTATTTATTTTTCTTCGTGTCAATTTTTCTTCACTCTGCATAAGGATCGATCCCGTCAGCCGTGACTCGAAGTTTTATTCTTTTTTTTTTATTTTCCTTTTTGTTTGCTCTTTGATCTGAAATTTGTCACTAACCAGCCTCTGATCGAAACGATGTGAGTCTAGTTTTGTGTTACCTCCTGGATCGATATGCCTTTGCTTTTTTTTCTTTTTTTTTTATCGGTTTTCTTGTTTTTCTTGTATTTTTTTGGGGAGCGGCCGTCTTTGTTTCTTTTATAGCCAATGGTATCGATGACCGATAAAGACCGATGATAAATCGTTTTACAGAGATATTCTCACAGTATTTTTTCTTAGAAAGAATATTGAGACACATGTACAAAATTTACTACCCATGTTTCATTTCAGAGTCCAAAATCCCCGAAATGAAGACGATGCAATTTACGTTGATAAACTTCGTAGAGTGTGATTTTGCGTAGGGTTGTTGTCTCACGATTCGTTCCACAATCGAATATGTTATCGATAAAAATATCTTATGCATGCTTGATTACGTGCTCGATCGTATCCTGCAATGTGAATAACGCTAAATCGTGTTTCTGTTATAATAATGATAAATATGCATGTATGCATGCACGATGACTCTGCTCCGTTCTTCAATTTATGCCCTTAATTAGCAGCGCGACGATTAAATCGCGATTTATCGAACCGATACGATTGTTCACATAATACGCTGTTTATAAAATCGGCCAGAATAAGTTATCATTAATTAAAGCCTCGATCGATAATTAATCCGCCGATCGCTAATTGCCACTTATCGAAATAATTCATGTGCTTCGAGCAAACGATATATCAGTGTCATTCGTTGCTCTGATTAACTTTGTATGCTACATGAAATCAGAATTATTGCAATCTTCACTTTTCTAATTATTGCTATTGAATCTTAACTGGTTGTTCAAGATCATTTCACTCATTCTATCATTCATAGTCTTTAACTCTAGTATCGTCGGCTCATAGGTAACTATATTAATCTATATTAAAAGTAAGTAGTTTAATTCAAAATTTTCATGGTTTCCCAGTAACCGCAGTTGAAGATTAACAAAAGAGAAGTGAAAGACTATGTTTCAATGAAATTGAGTAACCAGTAAACTTTGAACGAACTAGAAATCATAGTAAATCATAGAAATTCGACGACGCCGAATCCTTTCTGGATAAAGAGCAATCTCTATTCTCTATAAAAATCGTAGCGCGACAGAGTTCCACGTTTTGACATGCTCGCCGCTATTCGATCCACTATTAGTAGGAGCAATTTTTTGTTTCTTTTATTTTTTTTTTTTTTTTTTTTTTTTTTTTTTTTTTTTTTTTTAGCCAAAGTATGAAACAATCATAGAACGTTAATAACACGGTCTCTCTGAATTTTTAGGTCCAGATGCAACGGATTACTGAGCAAGGACGGGTGCCTCCTTCAGAAACATGGCATTGCTAGTGTGTTTTCTCTCCTCCCTTTTCTTTTTTTACTTTTTATTTTGTTTACGACGATTCGTAGCGATTCGTTTTAACGCGACGACCATCGATACCGCCAGGAGTTCTCCTGACATCTTTTCACGTCACGCCATCGTATTTGTTGCCCCCGTATAGTATTTCGTCTTGTCCCTTCCACTTTCTTTTCTCTTCACTCCTTTTTTTTTCCCTCTACCTTCTAATCCCACGGTGTGTGCATATTGTTAGAACACGATGATCCTTAGGGAGATCGATCGATCGATCATTCGAACGATCGAAGGCTAACGATATCCACTTTTATCGAATCACGCGACTGGTTTCTCTCTGCTACTTGGGAAATTGAGCTGAATCGGCGACTGGTCGCGATGATTCCCTGTTTCGTCATCTTCTCGAGAAAGAAAAGGAATCGATGCGAACGTGCATTCGCACCAATACCGTCATGTTACCTCGATCTTATCATTGTGCTATATTTATGTAAGTTGTGTAAAATAAATTATTTGTAAAGTTCACATTAATCCTCATTTCAGATCAGTCTATTCTCCTCTGCCATTTGCAATCTCCGATCATTTCTCATTTGGATAATGATAAATACACTACGAATAAATGGATAATAATAACTCTTGGATTAGTCTTTTCTAAGCAATGTTTACAAAATTTCTGCTCTGTATACATATGCATATAAAATGTGTTGAAAGTAAATTATCACAGAGTGATATAAGTGCGTTTCGCGTGCATGACGTACGCAATGACAGCCCATAATCCAGCGCCCCAAATGGCCTCGCATAAACGGAGTGCTCGGCTTTCCATGCTACCGATGCTCCAGTGAAAAGGGTAATTTTGGTAGCACACCATGTGGCCAACGTACAGCAACAATCCATTCATACCTATGGACAATAAGAATATTGAAACCATAGAATAGTGGAACATTGAAACCATAACCACATTGCCATAAAGTTTTTTGAGATATTTCGACAATTTCTTATTGTCAACTATCTGTTATTTCGACAATTTCTTATTGTCAACTATCTTAATAATCTAATCTGTTTTGTAATAAAATTATGTCACAATATTCGAAACAATAACTTTTTAATATCCGTCTAATTAACAGGATTTTTAAAAAAAAAAACGTGTTAAAATGATAAAGACTGTGTCAACTACATCTCAAGCATCTTTTCGGTGGCATTAACTTTGTAAACGGGTATTAAATCGCGAAACCTGTTCGGTAATTGCATAATCTCGTGAAAGTCATACCAGGGATTCGGAAAGGTCCACCGTTCCACACCTTGACGACATCCACGAGCAAGTAGCAAGCGGAGAGGAAGGCCAGGGAAAAAGATGTGGTCACAAATACAAATGACAGTGACCTACATATAAAATAATCAATGAATACAATTTTATATGATGTAACTGGCTCGCTGGTGTTCTTCGTCAGAGACGTACCATAATTTCTTATTGACAGGGATCACGTTGGTGAAATGAAGAACGCAACCTATGCAGCCAAGGAACGCAGCCCACGTTAACCATCTGATTACGCGTTCTTTCCAGTCCTTGTAAGTCATCATGATTATGCCAGCGTGCAGGCCAAGAAAAACTTGGAACGCCGTGGTGAGAGTACCTTAATAAGCAAAACATCTTCGATTACAAATTCGATTCTTTAAACATGGTAAAAAAAGTGGCGACCTTAGGATGACATAGAGATATTAGACGCAGATTATTTTAGAACTCTGAGATTTTGTTCCCTTGAAAAGAAAAATTAGAAAGAAATTAAAAATCCTTTCTAACTTTAACTGCAGTAACTGCAAAATGTTGTCACTTTCAAAAGGAAAGTTGAGAAAACAATTGAAAATCTATCGATCGAAATTTGTACAGTACCTAAAATTCCTTCTGGATCGTACGGTCCAGATTTATAAACCGAAGCTGAGTAATACAGATGAGCTTCTGTGAGTACCATTCTGTCGACATAGCCTGCTGCGCCGCCCACGCAGTCAAAGTGCTTCGCATCGTCGTGAAGACCACCAGGCCCAAGGTATCCACTAAGAACAATCGCTTTTGATGTTTCCGTAAAGAGGAAAATCTCGTTCGTTCAATTGCACCTACATACGTGGGACATCCTGGAACGTGCAAACAGAATGTGATGACACAATGAACGGCCACTATCACGAGCATCACGCACCATTGAGGAAGAAGTAGAAGGAAATCTTGCACTTCTCGTAACATTGGAGACTGTGAATGAAAATGAAATGTTTTTTCAGCCGATCTTTTTGAGAAGAAGATACGTACAAAAATCTTTCGCCTATAGATATGTGCACACTTACTTGTATCTTGCTTGATTTCCTCGACATAAAGATAAAGTATAACAGGGCGACAACGAAATAAGTTAGACCAAATCGTTGGAGAACACCGAATATACGAATGGTTTCCAATTGGGGACCGCTGCTCATGGTGTTAAGGGACATTCCAATCAGGAACAAAAGGATACTCCTCTGTCAAATAAAATATAAACAAATTAAAGTTTTAAGTTTCAAGAGATTGGATCATCTTTTAAAGATGATCGAATAATATCTGATCATAAAGCAAATATTATATATAAAATATATACCAATATTTTTATGATTTGTTGATATTAATCATTTGTTTATATAAATTTGATTTATTGTTAATTAAAATATTAATAGTTATATACTTAAAATTTAATATTATGCCTGGAAAAAGAAATAAATTGTAAATTTATTAATAAAGATTTTAAATTCTTTTAATATTATTTTAGTAAAATTTATATGTATATAATATTTTTTCCAATTTTAAGTTTTAACACGTAATTAATACATTATATCAGATCTTTAACTTTCTATACACGACTTTCCACGTTTGAATTCTATTTTTCCTCTGCAATTGTTTCAATGGAAATTAAATTTTGTATTTTCCCCTGCAATTACCTTAATGATTCCATACAATATCGTGCTTTTCGATGCCGTGCGCTTCATCTGACTGGACATCGCTATGGGGATGCACAACCCCATGATCCATGTGAAGCAAGGGAACAACAAATCCCCCGGAAGTAATCCGTTCCAAGTTGCATGACCGAGAGTCTTATAACCGCCCGATCCATTGTTCACGAATATCATCAACAATGTACACGCCCTGCAAGATTAAACGTTTCTCGAATACGACATTTGGATATTTTGGATATAGACTAAAAGAAATATAAATGGAATGAGACGATTTACCCTCGAACCGTATCAATCGCTTTCACTCGACGTTTCGCGGATTGTCTCAGCGTAGTATCATCCCCTCTATTTTTCACATATTTCTCTCTGCATACGTGCCACAACGATTTCAAGCCGGACAGGCCGAACAAAACGAGTATCAGCACTCCAAAAATAACAAAGAGTTCTGGAAAAAAAATTGGCCTTTTCATCAAGAACATCGTTGAACACCATCTTTCCATACTTAATATTTTTTCCAACCGAGATGCTATCGGATGCACTTCAAATAAAAAATTGAATTCGATCCGAGATAATCGTTATCTGTTGCCATTTAATAAACATTTCAAAATTATCGAGCTAATCTGATGTTACGATTGAACTAAGTAAAATCTGCATTAAAAAATTAAACATCGATTTACAAAACTATTCGCTATTCCTTAATTTTAATTTGACAAAGTAGAATCTTGCCTGTATAAGGATAAGTTGGCGGAGTGAGAACCTTCAAATCGCAGCTACGATTTTGCACGGCAAGTTCATACACACCGAATTGTCCCAGGTTCGGTGTTAGCTCGCAGATCACGTCGCTAAAACGAAAAAACATGCAAATCGTAAAAATTCAGTATATCTTTAATTTAACACTATTCAGAATCGTGGTACTCCTTTCAGTACCTGGTATTTTTAGCGGATATAAATTCGCTAGGATCCTCGGCATCCACGATTCTGATGCTCGAGGATCTGACAGTATCGATCGTCACGGAAGAACTCTGATTTACTGCGATCTGTTTCAGCCTAGTGTATGGACACTGCAATGAAACGATTTTCAATGTGGCTAAATTTTTACGAAGAGAAATAAATCTTTGTTAAAGAAGTCGATTAATTTCAAAATTTAAGAATTATCAACTCCATTTATGTCCTCAGTGTCATCAATAAATTATTAGATAACATTATAAGATAACGTAACTTTTATCTCTTGAGTCGAAAAACAATTCCAGCTAACAATAACAATAAGTTCCTCGTCTGTATTATAAAAAATATATTATATATCATTAAGTAAAATATATCGCTGATGTTTATGCCAGTGCAATTTAAAAAATGGGAATGTAGATATTTTTATATATTCTGTATTTTATTTATTTTATACATACTATATTATATATTATACTTTTCGTATATTCTTGTACATATATTCTATTTTTGTACATTTAAATTTTCCATAAAGGCACGAACATCCGCAGTCTAATTATTATAAAAGAAATTTCAACTTCAGAAATCAACGATTCCAATTAACATTCACGATTTCAATTTAAAAAAATGGAGCGTTTTAAGAAAAGAAAAATATCTGTTAAAAAGAATTAAAATTCTTGAAAGATTTGTAAAAAAAAAACGGTACTGTATAGAAACGGGCAAGAATATGCAAAGCGTAAAAAGAGCGTGTCCTTGCGTGACTCACCAGCGCGCAATCTGCGGAAAGCAGGTAAAACCAGACATTCGAATTTTCTGCGCGTAGATTGATGCAAGCCTCGTCGTATCCAAGGATGTATGGATCACAGAACCACTCAGCCGTCGTCTCCATGTCACGCTGCACGCAAAATAAATAACACTTGGGAGGAAAAAATCACGGTACACGCTTCGAAAGTCGCGCGAGGAATCATGACTGACGGTTAAACTTAACACGCATCCTTAATTTAAGAGAAAAGGTTTATCAGACGTTCTATATACGGCGACCGAGAAAGTGGAACGCTAAAAACCGAATTTTTTACCATGCGCTCCTCTGCCTTTTACTGTAGAGCTATAAAAATGATACAGGTGATAAAAGTACAAGTAATATAAGAATGAGAAAATTTGAATGGGAGAGTTCTTTATGAATTATTATAACTTGATACCTGTATATAAAATTGTTATTTTAAAATACTAGTAACAATAATATATTATGATATAATATATAGTATAGTAATAGTAATAATAATATATTTTAAAAATATATATAAAGTTGTTAAAAATAATCAATGCATTATGACTTTCTAGTTAGTTCTGATTGAACAAGTTCTGAGAGTCTCGCGGCTTGTCTAATCTAATCTAATTGGGTCTTTCACCCAATATTGCCATGAAATAATCAAATTCATTAATTGATTTTCATTTAAACGCGTTATCAATCTTTCGATAATATCTTCAAGTACTCTCATAAATGTACCTCGCTTAATTGAAGAACGCAAAAAAAAAAAAGAATTAAAAAATTGAAACACAAAATACCTTCAATATTGTTTTCCGTAATCACAATGTATGCATTACAACTGCAAGGGCCGTAGGAGAGAAAAAAGTCGAGCAATCGTCACGGCACGAGAAAGAACAATTGTTGATGCTCCACGAGATAGTCAATGCAAAGGAGGTGACTAACGTTAACTTGATAATTCACAACGATAATCCCAATTTTAACGGTAAATTACAATACGTATATATCGATGTTTCATCGTTTTCACGATTAAATATTGCGCGGCCGCGGTTTAATCGGCGTAAGCTGGCACGAGAATAGCGCGACAGCTTTTTAATATCGCGCCCGTATGCCGGCAAACACACGGCCGGCTTGACTCGCAGCGAATCACGTGGGTGCATTGACTGACATTTCACCTGGCATTCAAGAGGAATTTTACCTGGCCCCTAACCGAACCATCGCAATCTCTTGCAGTATCGGTCGCCTTGAAACCGACTTTTCATTCGTCAGACTTTAGAATGTGTTTGCCGATCATCGTTCCATCGCTTATGGTCTATTGCTGTAATTCTTCTGTTAGTAACAGATGTTTCATATAACGGGACTCCTTGTAAGTGATTTTATGAAATGATCGACGCAACTGGGTCGCAGTTTTTCGTACTTTCTACGATGAAAGTAATGCGAATCGATTGAAATTTGAATAATTGCCTGAAATGAGACGACAAAGGGGAACTGATTAATTTGGATTATCTGCGCGCAACATAAATTTTTAGTAATTTTAAGCTTCGTTTAACGTAATCGAACGTAGAGTATGGTAAAATGTGAGATATATTATGAAATTGGAAATATGGATATCGACCTTGCTAAATCGATACGCACAATTGAATTACGCATATTTGAATTTTGAAAAAATAAAATCTTAACATGCGATAATCTAATCTCTATTGTTAAAAATATTTATTCACGTTATTACAATTACTGGCAAAAGTTGATCGATAAATTAATGATAAGTTCTAATATACAATACATATTAAATTTTTGTATAAATGTCGATTACTTTAAATGATCTTCTAATCTAGAAAACTTGCTATTTCTAAATCAATGAAAATACACAAACGGCAATGATTGTGATAATTTTAAAATTCCTTTATTTTGAAGCTAATTAAAATATTTTGACACATATATATGTAACATACGTGTGATAATTCAGATAAATAAGTGCCGTTAAACATATAAGAGCTGATTAAATTGTAAAACAAACGTGATATGTGCAGTTCGATGAACTGACTAGCGTAAACGTTTCGAAGTCCACGATTTCAGACATCTTTGGATCATTTACAAAGGTAACAATTAATATTGAAAAACTATCAACTCACAAAGAACTTTTCCTCAAGACGAGTATATTGGTCATCTATCTCCCGTTATCCGTGTACATTACAATTTATAAATAACAACAGGCCATTTGATTAGCTTGTTATAAATTCCTTCTTTTTCATTTTTCTGCCTATATAAAAATTTACAACGCGATGACGTGTATAGTTCCTTGACTGCAGCTCAATCAAACTCATTTCTTATAATTTACCATGGGTGACAATAAATTCATGTATTGCTGCTAATGTATTCCTGTCTTTAGAATTACATTAATTTTACAAATAAAGAATAATGTACGAATAATGTGTCACAACTACTAGGGTCTTTGGTTGTTTACAATATATAGTGCATTTCTTATAGTAACAGAAGGAATGTACCCAGTATAATATTGCATCAATGGAATTTTTAATATTAATAATTCTCTATATAATATTCATAATAATCGTCAACATGATTTAATACTGTGGATTGAATTGCTTCTTTATGCAAAAAAATGAGATGGTTCATATGAATTTTGCAAATACAACTTAGGCCTTATAAACTGGATGTGCTTTCTTGAATATTAAAGTTAATTTTTGCCTTTTTTTTCATGTTTTTCCTTGTCTAAAACAAATGCATGCAATATTAATATTAAATTTTATTAATTTCCTCCTAACATTAATCTTAGCGTACATTATATAATTTATATTCTTTCATTTTCATATAATTTAACGAGTTCTCTAAATTTTCGTTACCTAGATCCTTTTCATGTATAAGCAGTTTTAATATTGTAATAATACGTTTATCAAAATCGTCGACATCATTCATCACCAACGTCGAGCAACTTTCAATGTAATGATTATATTATTATTACCAATAAGCAATACGGCAAGATTCGAAATAGACTATTAACAATCAAATATTATCGGTCTTCATAAACAATTGGAAAGACTTCAAAATCTTCAAAATTAATGTTTGCCACTACACAATACCACTCAGCTGTTTCTCCTTGTTACAATAATGGAACATAAATAATTCTAGAACTAAATAATTCTGACATATATGGAAATTAATTAACACATAATTACACCGATCAGTCTAATGAATTTGAAATTAAAGAGATTAATTAAATTAAATATAACATTTATATCGCATTATGGAATTTGTCATACAGGCCACTATAATCAATCCTGTATTAATTTACAATTTGGAATAAACAGCTTAAATGGTCTATGTAAAAATTCATGATGGATCAAGAAGAATATCATTTACAAATTTTGATGCGAAGATATACAATATGTATTTGCATATGTATTATGCTTGATATTCTTCATTTCATCCAATAGTAACTACACACGTGTAAATACAATATACACCTATCTACAACAAATTCTATTCAATAAAATAGCGGCGCTATGCTCCTTGCAATTCTTGTACCCTCTTGCATGAGGGCATTTCAATATTTTTAGCTTTGGAAAATAATTCTTGATCTCCAAAGTTTCTTGCTTTCCACATCATTGTTTCCCCTGAAGATTAAAGAAATGATATAGCCAAAGTGTAAAAATGTACCCTTTGACTATTAATTATTTCTTTTAAGTCTACTAGTTTAGTTTTATTATTTCCAAGAGCTACAAGTAGTCTGCTCTACTGAGATATTTAACAATCAATTGAGTAAAATACTTACTATAACTTTTCTCTCTAAAACAGGCATGTCTCAAATTATTCAGGTACTCTTCTTCAACAGAAATTTCTAGTCTACGTAAGCTGCCTTGATATTCAGTATGAAAGTTTTCTTTCACATAGTAGGGCACCTTTAATCCTTGAGTTGTTCTTAGTACAGAATATTTTCTGCGCACAAATTTAAAATGTGCATATAATCGTGTTTGTACAAGTCAATCGCTCTCGTTTAAAATGTAAAAGATACCAGAGATAAAATCCCACAAAATAAAGCATAAATAATGAAATTAAAACATACCATAAAATTATTAATTAAAACTAATTTATTCGGTATTGCTTGTTATAAATATTTGTCATAAATTATAAATACACTTACGCGTTAGAATGCAAGCTATATACAGGATCTGATATAAAGAAACTGCTCATCATAGTTAACAATATTAATAATAGCACAGGCAACATTTGAAGGAATGTGGTATATCCATTTGCTTGCTAAAAATCATAATATTTATTAAAACAAAGATGATTTAATTGAAAAAAAATTATACTTAAATTAGTATTTTTTAGTATATTAATAATTTTTTCCTCGATACCTGAGAGTGAGCATGTTGAGCTTGTGCGTCCTGTTGTCTTGCCCACCTTCCAGAGCGTCTCATATAAAACTCTTGCTGTGGGAATCCACCTCCAAAGAACATACTAAATAATTCTTCTGCTGTTATATCAGCTACAAAAAATTAATTAATCAGTATGTCTTAATAAACATATACTGACAGTATAAGGCAATTGTAACACAAAAATAAATATATTATAGTAATACTTTCAAATCCTCTTGTATAATTATAATGTGAATGATTTTGATGAGCTTGAGCACTTTGCATTCTTTCTTCCTCAGAACCATACATGTCATACTGCTTTCTTTTCTCCACATCAGTGAGTATAGCAACAGCATTTCCAATGGCTGATACAATATAAATTATACGTTGCAATACATAGATCATAATAAAAAATTTATTACAGATATATCTTAATTAACATTTACCTTTAAAAGCTTCAGCAGCACCTGGTGCTTTATTTTTATCTGGATGTAACTGAAGCGCTAATTTTTTATATGCCTTTTTAATATCACTGTCAGTTGCATCTTTGTTTACACCCAAAATTTCATAATAATCTTTGCATTTCTTAATTCTACAAATAAATGAATTACAACAACATTAATGATAACAAAAAATGTTACATTACAATAGACTGAAAATAAAAAACAGCTTCATTTTAATATTTTAATTTATTTGTTAAAGTGATTTTTAAGATTTTATTCAATATAAGTACCTTTTAATATGTTCAAGTTGCTCCTTTGTATAATCATTACAAGCTTGAGTATGTGTAGTTTCTTTAGGTGTGGTTTGACGCTTTCTAACTGTGGGTTCAGATTCAGGCTTTTGATTTTGTTTTGACATCATTGTCACTTTTGCTAACACATCTGTAAATATATAACAAATTGCAAGAAAATATTCTCTGTTTCATATAGTCATACAAATTTCATTTAAGTTTTTAATTTTCTGTTTATTCACATACTTTATTTTTGTTTTTATCAAAACTCAAACACGTGTAAAAATCAATGATCAAAATGAATGCATATGAAAAATTTTACTTTCGTGTAGCCATAGAAATTATACTTCTTAAACAATTCAATATAAACATGAAAATAATGTGTAAAAGAAGAATTACATTTTTTTCTGTAACTTAGATCTTAAAAATCAAGAATACAACAGGAACGTCTTCCAAAATGATAATATCAACAACTTGAAAGTTAGATGTAAGGAAAGTAAAGTAGGAGCCAGAATTAATCATAGTATTTTATAGAAGCTGACGTGGAGTTTTTCCCCTCTTACCTTCTGCTTTTTTCGTAGGATAAAGTTTTTGTGCTTTACGTACAAACTTCTCCGCTTCCTCGTACCTTTTCTCCCGCAAATATCGTTCAGCAAGTTCCATACATCGTTCGGCCTCATCCTTATTACTATCCATGATTTTTCTCAAAGATCGAATTGAATTTTATCTTAAACACAATGACAGAGCAGAATAATAAATAAATTTAATCACACTAATTCTCCGCCATAGCAACTTAATAGGTTGCGTCATGAACACACTACGAAGTAGAGCTTTCTACTACGTGTCGTGTAAGCGACGACACGTACCACAAGCGCTACTTATAACTTACGAAAACTCTAATTACTATTTATATTCACGCACTTGAGTGATTTAATTCTGTAAACAACCAATCAGAACTGCCACTAAGTAACTAAAATTTGTATAATGGAAAAGAATTTTGTTATCAATAACACAAAACGACTTATTAAAAGAAATAATATAAAAACACATTCAATATTGTTTTTTTGGGGCTCTAATATTACATTTTTATGAATTGCATAATTGTTTTTTATATAATAAAAAGTAATTGTTTTATGATGATTAATTTTTTATTTGCATAAAAAACAATAATAAGAATTTATGAAAGAAAGAAATTCTGACTGTATATATTAGGTTAAAACATTACCGTCAAAGTAGCATCTCTAGTTTCTTTTCAATCAATGTGTTTTCACAAAACAATATCTGAAATTTATTTACTGTAAATTAATATTGTACAGTAAAATATTAATTGAACATTATTGTTGGATGTACGTATAATTAAACTAATTTAAATTAACTGTAAGTAATACTTTTAATTTATTAAAATGACATTTATTTATGTTGGATATTTTAACTGCAAGGTTATCTTAACTTAATTTGAATTTATATTATTAATAAATTAATGTTAAATACTTAAATAATTAATTCTTAATTTTATATATATTTTCTAATTTTTATAGAAAATGTTGAGCATAAGACAGTATGCACAACGATTTATATCAAACAAAATATTTAACACAAATAACTCAAATTATTTACCTAGTATACAACAAAGATCATTCAATTGGTTTAAAGAAGACGACGAAAATGATAGTAAAGGATTTCTTAAATATAATAAAACTATTTTTCCTCCACAAAAGCCAGGTGAACCAAAAAGACCAGGTGTAAGTTTATTTTGTATTGTAAAACAACTGTACCTTTTTAATTAAAGTATAATTATTCATTGTATTTAAATATTTCACAGTACGTTTGTCACGTAAAAAAGAACATAAAATATAGTCCGTTAAAAATGTGGTATGTCGCTTGTTTTATTCGAGGTATGAGTGTAGATGAAGCTGTTAAACAATTGAGCTTTTTAAAAAAGAAAGGTGCAGCAATAGCAAAAGATACTATTTTAGAGGCACAACGCATGGCTGTAGAGGAACATAATATTGAATTCAAAAGTAATTTGTGGGTTGGTAAGTACATTAACTATAAAATATTTTCAACACTTATATTACAATAATAAGATTTTTTATTGTATTTTCTAGCTGAATCTTTTGCAACAAAGGCTTTGGTATATAAAGGAATACGACGTCATGCTAGAGGAAGATATGGAATAATACATTATAGATATTGTCATTATTTTGTACGTCTAGAAGAAGGAAAACCACCAAAACATTATTATCAGCCTGCGCCCAAAACTGGCGAAGAATGGTTGCAAGAATGGATGGAACAAATGCGTAACCGCAAAATATATAATTCACTATAATATATTCACAATTATATCTAAATAAATAATTATTCACTGTTATACGAATTATTACAAATTATTACTTTAATCAAGATTCAGAATAGGTTTTATCATTTCTCCAGACAAATTTATATGTTGAAGTTAGAGTTTATTTAAGAGTAAGTAATGAATGTGTAACAAAAAAGACAAATACATGTCAAATTTATTTTACAGCTTCAACTTTGTTCTTCTCCAATGACGCCGTTTTGCGTTATATCTGTAAAACGAATAATAATAATAATAATAGTAGTACAATAATTGAAAAGGAATATTAATATGTATATATGCAATATAATTTATATTTTTTACCTGATAGTATTACCAGTACGCATTCTGACCCATTGTGGAATCGGTCTGTTTTGCTTCAATTTTTTAGCAAGCTTCCGCTTAATAATAAACGTTTTATGAGCCGACTGAAACAGATTATACAATTTATATGCATTTTAAATGAAATTTTTAAACAATTATTTATATGTAACTAATAGGATGTCAAACAAATCTTTAGATTTTATAACATAACCAAAATCTCACCATCTTGCTCAAATTAGATGAAAGAAATGGTCGCACCTCCCTAGACTTACCGATATATTTCTGAATAGGGTTTACAGATGTCGCTACATGAAAGTCACCAACAACAATAAAATAAATACTAAATATAGGGATTTTATTGTATATAAAAATAATATAGACATATAATAAACAATTAAAAATTTATCAATATAATACTATTTTAGGATACAATATTATTTCTTTATACAGTTTAAGAATTTATGAGTTTCAAAATTATCAGTGTTCATTTCAATGGTAATTCCATGATGATTTATTACAAAAAATCATTTTATCTTAAAAATTTAATATAAACATTAACTTAAAATATATTTATATATTTTCATAATACTTGTAAAGTTTATTCAACAAAATACATTTGTACATAGCGATTTTAATTTCAATAAATAAGGCATTAAATTTGATTTATTTAATTTAAATAATAATTTAAATATTTTTAATTGAGTTATTTCGAGATATTTACATTACTTCATATTTTACATACTTTCTTTATCATTAAGTGTTTACGCGTATTAAAATATTTTTACTATTATTATTATTTTTTTGAACTTTGGACTATGTTGATACGAAATGGTTTCATTTCCCTAAGTTAACAAGACAAAACGAATTATTTAAAAATTATATTTGTAAAAAGATGTTCGCCAATTGTCTTAAAACATTTCGAATTAGAAATGCAAATAAAGTAAGTATTAAAACCTATCTTTTTGATGTTTATTTGTTTGAATCATTAACCAATTAATTAATATCTATCTATTTTATATTAATTCGGTTTTAATTTTGAGCATAAAAATAATATGTATAATTGAGTATAATTTCTTAAAATTTTTTCTAATATGTAAAAAGTTTTCATTAATAAAAAATACAAAAAACATTAATATTAAGATACTAATTTTATTAAAACCCATATTTTTATAAGTTAACATAACAAAAACAAATTAGATATTTAAAACAATATTATAAATTAGTCTTTTCAAAAAATATTAATATTTAATTAATTTATTATTTTAGTATGGGTTATTGGCACGTTATGAATCTACGTTAGTCATTGCAGAACATAATAATGAATCATTATCACCTATCACTTGTAATACATTAAGTGCAGCAAAAAAAATTGGTGGTGATATAACAGTCTTAGTTGCTGGTACCAATTGTAATGCAGTTGCAGAAAGTGCTAGTAAAGCTAACGGTGTATCCAAAGTTTTAGTGGCAGACAGTGATGCTTTTAAAGGATTTCTTCCAGAAGCATTAACACCTCTTATTCTTGCTCTTCAAAATGAGCATAAATTTAGTCATATTTTAACAGGTGCCACTGCTTTTGGTAAAGCACTACTGCCAAGAGTAAGTATAAGTATAATTAAATACATATAAATATAAACTATATTTTTCATAGTTTTCATATCACTTTTATTTTCGAAGGTTGCAGCTAAATTAGATGTATCTCCAGTAAGTGACATTATTGGTATTAAAACAGCAGATACATTCATCCGCACAATTTATGCAGGAAATGCAATTCAAACATTAAAGTGCAAAGATAATATAAAAGTAGTTTCAGTGAGAGGCACTGCATTTGAAGCAGCATCTTTGGAAGGGGAAACTGCCAAATGTGAATCTGCACCAGCTGGAGATTACAAGTCTCAATTAATAGAATTCATTAAGCAAGAGTTAACTAAATCAGACAGACCAGAATTAACATCTGCAAAGGTTGTTGTATCTGGAGGAAGAGGAATGAAATCTGGTGAAAATTTCAAATTATTATATAGTTTAGCGGATAAACTTAATGCTGCAGTTGGTGCATCTCGTGCGGCTGTTGATGCTGGCTTTGTGCCTAATGATTTACAAGTGGGACAGACAGGAAAAATTGTTGCTCCAGTAAGTTTGATTTCTAATTATATATATTACTATATAACTGTAAAAAAATTATTTACATTTCAATTCATATCTTTTAGGATTTGTATATTGCTGTTGGTATCTCTGGAGCAATTCAACACCTTGCTGGTATGAAAGATTCAAAGACTATTGTTGCAATTAACAAAGATCCAGAAGCACCAATCTTCCAAGTAGCTGATTATGGCTTAGTTGCTGATTTATTTAATGCTGTCCCTGAACTTACAGAAAAATTGTAAATTTTAATAATATTTTATATAAATATTTTTAAAACAAAAATTTATATACAGTTTCACATTTCCACTACTGTAAATGGAGTAACATGTTAATAAAAATATCATGTAAAATGTGTTTTGAATTTATTTCAATGTTCTCTACAATACGGTGGAAAAATAATTATGTGTTCCTATTTGTTTAATCCAAAGTAACATTGATTTAGCTATGTTTAGTTTGTATGAAAACAAACAGTTTTCGAAATTTTTTTTATTGACACCTACTGTATGTCCTGTACCGTTCAACTTTTATTCTAAACTTTTTTTTTGTCAGATGGCTCTAATTGGTTAAAAAATCGTGCATTGCGTTCAGGCCTGTATATGTCTGTCCTTGTTGCCCGCTATTGCTCTCCTTGTCTAACGCGCATAAATGTCTGTCCTTGTCGCACGCTGTTGCTCTCCTTGTCTACTGCACATATATGACTATCCTTATACATATATACACAGAAATATATGTATACAAAATGTTTACTAAAAATATAATTTTTTATAATTATTAAATACATAACTGTTTATTTTAATCTTAAATCTATTAATTCCAATTGCTTTTATTTAGGTTAAGTCATTGTACTTCATGGTGTCATAAAATCTTTTCATGGATTTTAGAATATATATGTTATTTTATATTTAAAACATATTTATGTATGAAAAGCAATTTCTACAAATTTATAAAGAATTAGCTAATCGAAGCAATAATGTATTGATAATATTTATCATTTAGTTTCCGATTTCAGCGTCACGATAAATATCTATTCCCCTGCATTTTAGTTATGCCTATATGTATACATGGAATCGCTGCCATCTTTGTCGTTTCCTGGCGTGGTGCATGGCCGGCTAGATTACTGATTTTTAAGTATTTGATCGTATTTATGTGTTCTGTATCTTTAGATGTGGAAATTCGATAATAATTTTATCATGAGTATGGACAGTATCGAAAAATTGTACAAAAATTTTGGCATTTTGGCTGATGCCAAAGACAAATTGGCTGAGGTAATTGACGAATTTGGTTATATTGAATAACCACGTTTATTTAATTCTAGTTTTCGCAATTTCATACATTTATAAACATAAAACGAACATTTTATTGCTTTTATCAAAGAAAATATATATATTTTACAAGCATCGACTGAATTAGATGTTGCTTTTATATCATAAAATTTACTTAATATTTGTATGTAAATGATGAAGCAAAAAAAAAAAAAAAGGCGGTAAACATCTTTAAACCTAAAATATTTTCGTTTACGTATTGCAGCATGAGAAAGAATACTTAGAAATTCTAACAGCAGTGAAAGGATCACCTAAAGAAAAACGATTAGCATCACAATTTATTGCAAGGTTTTTTAAATATTTTCCAAAATTGGCTGATCAAGCTATAGATGCTCATTTAGATCTATGTGAAGATGAGGATATGGCTGTATGTTTTGTTTATATTATTTGATGTGTATACTATTATAATATATGTAATTCATAAAGTATGCATATAACACAAATTTGATCATTTATTTTGCAGATAAGGAAACAAGCAATTAAAGATTTACCAGCACTATGTAAAGATAATAAAGAACATACAGCTAGAATTGCAGACATTTTAGCTCAATTACTACAAGCTCAAGATCCATCTGAATTAGCTGTAGTTCATAACAGTGTTATGTCCCTTATGAAAACTGATCCAAGAGGTTAGTTGGAGTACATCAACATTATTAAAGATATATTACAATGTAATGAGACATTAAATGTAATTAATATATTGTTTTCTTCAGGTACAATAAGTGGATTTTTTAGCCAAATTATCAATGGTGATGATGGAACACGAGAACGTTGCATTAAGTTCCTAGCAACAAAATTAAAAGCGATAGGTCATGATGTTATTACTAAAGAACCTGAAGATCTTTTAATTTCAGAATGTAAGAAAGTGTTGCAGGTATGATTTTTTCATAGTAATGATAGACATATTTATTTTAATTATTGCTTATAACACTTCCTCTCCTATAGGATGTCACTGCTGATGAATTCCACAGTATTATGGAAGTTCTTGCATGGACTAGATTAGGTTCAACAATTAGTGGACAGCAAGAATTAGTAGATATTACTGTTGAACAGGCTGAATTATCTGAACCATTCAAGCATACTAATGTCGAACAATGGAACAGGCTTGTACAATGTATTAAACATGCACTTCCATTCTTTAGTGTAAGTCTTTAATCATATTTTTATATCGTTTTGTGTTTATTAATGAAAATTGACAGTTGTATAAACTATTTCTTACAGTCTCAAATAGATTCATCGCGATTTGTTTCTTATATTTGTATACAAGTTTTACCGCATCTTTCTTTAATTACTTCACCTGATGGAAGAGATATACAATTGGAGTTATTAAAGCTTCTTGCTGAATTAGCTGTATTTTGTGGAACAATTGATAAGCCAGAAGAAAAAGTACAACAACTTTATAATACTCTCATTGTAAGTAATAACATTATTTAGAAGAAAGATGTATTTTATATATACAAGATATATAATAATATTGTTTCAATATTTTTAGACATATATGCCACTACCTCCAGTTACAGAAATAACAGAAGTACCAAAATTACAATTTAGTCACGTTGAATGTCTTATGTATGCTTTTCACAAATTGTGTAAACAAACTCCAGAATTTTTAATGAAGGATCCAGAACAGCTTAAAGAATTTAGACTAAGATTACAGTATTTTGCACGTGGTATTCAAGGTTATATAAAAAAATTACGCGAGGCAATCAGCGGAAAATCGGAAGAAGAATTGAAATCAGAGGAAAATCAACTAAAAGTTGTTGCTTTGAAAACAACGAATAATATTAATACTTTAATTAAAGATTTGTTTCATTCACCACCTAGTTTTAAAAGTGTCATACATCTTTCTTGGAAAACAACAGCTAATGATAAAAAGGTATACATTAAATAAATTGGGTATAATTTTCTTATAAATGTGACAGTTTGAATACATCTGTTATGTTTTATTTTAGAATGAAAAACATTCGTCTCCTCAGAAAAGACATACACCCATTACATTTGGAAATGATAGTAATTCAAATAAACGAAGCAAAGAGGATAAGAGCAAAAGAGAATTGTATACTCCTCCTAGTGGAAAATACAGTTCAAACATATCGTCAAATTATGGTAGTAATAATTATAATTAATTACTATAATTAATCTTATTATTTCATTAAAATAATATTCAATTTATGCTTATATCTTTTTGTTTACAGGTCGAGGTAGATTTAGAGGAAATAGATCAGGTGGTCGAGGTGGTTATAGACCAAGAGGTCGTGGAACATGGAGAAAAAATTTTTACTAATTGCCTAACTGCTTAAATTAACTGATGAAATAATAAAAGCTGCAATAACATAAAAGACTAAATCAGGCCTGTAAAATGTACATATAAAAATGAAGAATGTAAAAGTGATTATTTACAGAAAGTGCTTTTTTAAGAGAAGTGACAAAGAAAATACAATTTTTGTTCTATAAATCTTAGTGTAAAAAAAGTGTTTTTTGTGAAGGCTTTGAGTACATATACTTCAAATACAAAATTGTAAGAATCAATTATTTACTACACAGTGGCAGTCACATTGTCTCAATGAAATTTGAAGAAGAGAACATTGGTGTGAAATATTGTATTAATGGTGTTATAAGACCTTTTTTTTTATACATATTATTAAACAACTGGAAAATACAATTTGGAAAACCTGAGTTCGGAAAAAGTGAACAAGTATGTGGAAAAAAGTGGGAAGAATGATATAAATTTCACGAAGTGTTTATTACGAAACTATTAATCAGATACCTAACAGACAATACAACATAAATAAAATAATGAAGAGAAAACGGTGTGAGGACACAATACGTGAATTATTTGAAATGATTGAAAAAATACTAGATATCACAACAAAATATTCCATCTATTTGATACAGAATGTTTACAAATTCATACTGTCTATGACTGGTTTGTGCTATGACATGGATACTTGTGTTGCACGCATTTGCAACAGACGGGCAATTTTTTTTGCCATAATAATTTTGGACGTTAAAATAGTATCAAAATGTATTTCCCTATCTCCTAGTTCTTCCTATTCCTTCCTCTTGATTATATCTTCTTTCTTCTGTCAACAGGAAGTGCAAGATCATAGCAATCAAAGGGATGCCAGCGGACTGTCTGATCTTGGGAGAATAACAAAATCAAAGAAACTTTTAAAAACAACTTTTCTATTTTCTAAATTATAAATTATTTATATTTATAACTTTGTCTTTTATTTACTAACTGTTTATATTATTGTTAAATGTTTTTTTGTTTTTCAACCACATGGATAACGTTCTCTTATTAAAATGATTAATTTAAGAACAAAAACAACGTAGGAAAATAATATAAAAATTAACATAAAATTATAAAATTATTTATTGAATAATAAATGAAAAAAAAGTGATTTTTCACATCAAAAAGTTTCTTTGATTACATAATAATAAAGATGTATTTATTGTATAAATTTTATCTTACAGATAAAATGATGCAGTAATTGCCGACTGATGGGTGGCAAAGCGGAACAAAAATAATCATTTTTTGATTACAGGTTGTAGGAGGTTTGAGAAGGAGACTCATAAAGGATGATTATAATATATTTTTTTTTCAGGACTCAAGGCATGGTTGTATATTGTCTTTTATTTATATATTGATGGTAGCTGTTTTGTAAGGTGAGTTTAAAAACATATTGTGTCCTTTTCCTATCCACCATTGAATAAAAATTGTGTAATAATGATCTAATAATTATAATTCATGAATATATCATCATTTAATTTAATAAATAATACTATTGCATAATATGTTGTATTTTTTATGCCCAATATCGAACGGCTAGTTAAAAATATTTGTGGGAAAGTTATAGTTACTGAATATTTGTGTTTTAATTAATATTTAATACAAATGTTTTGTAACATATCAATCATGCAATCAAATAAATTCACTTATATGTAATAATGTACATTGTATTATTCTAAAAATATTATTGGAGAGATTAAAGGTATTGATTTAAACAGTATTGTATCAATAAAACAAATAAATTGCATAAAATATTATTTTCTGTTATTTAATAAATAAACTACATTTGTAGAATCATTATCATTAGAATGTATTGTACAGTTATAATTACAATAGTTTTTACAATGTCCTATTAAAAAAAAATTTATTTAATATAGTCCATTTGTTGCAATCATATCATCTATTGTTTTGCACATAATGCGATCACTTGGGCTACAGGGATCAGGAATTTGTTGTTCAGAACCTAAATTATCAACAGACTCCATAGCATCTGTATTTATTGCTAATTTAGAATCCAGTTCCGAAGTATCGGGTAACATTTGCAGTGCATGTTGTAGAATTTCTTGAACCTATAGAAATATGAGAACTTCAATTAAGCATTATACTATGGAATACATAAAAGACAAAAATTCAGAAATCGTACTTTTTCTAAATGTTTTTGAAATCTAAGTGCTGTTTCAATACGTTGTCTACGCTGTAATTCCATCATTACTCTTAGTGTTTCTCTGGCTTGATGTGGTCTAAATTCATTTAGCAAGTGATGAATGTGGATAAATAAGAGACTGAGATCTTCCACCTAAAAACAAAAAAATAGTAAATATTTACGTTACGTGTCAGAACATTAAACACCTACCTTTTCTGCACGTCTTGGACTGTCAGGACATTGTACAAGCAAATCTATCAAATCCAAGAAGTTAACAAGCAATGAATGATTCAATTTTTTCAACTCCCGTCGTCGATCGAAATGCTGAGGATATAACCTTTTGATCCCTTGTGCTTCGAGAGGTCTAATAATTGTATCGTCCGCGTTAAATACATTTCCGAACATCGAATAAGTATCGTGTATCGGCGGTGGTGGTCGTGGTGCTCTGCCTCGGCGAACATTTTCGTCTGTGTATAAATTAATATATTGAACCGGTGGCAGAGGAAGTGAACTGACTTGTATCGCTTCTGGTGCTGCCATTTTTTACGTTCGATGTTTTCTTAATAAAAAAAAAAAGTAAAAAGCAATTTCACTTAAAAAATGCGTGATAGGTTAGGTTTAACCAAAAGAAACACTGTTGTCAAACTGATCGGAACGTCGAAGTTGTGCGCAGGTCCGTAATTTCGCGCGTAGTCATTACTTTTTTTTCATACAATTTACATTCCATCAATTTAATATTAGCAATAATAAAAGATAACAGTTCGCACTGATATTACAAAAATGATATTTAATTTACTGCGAACTCGAACGACGGTTCACTATCGATATACCGACAATATAGGTTAGGTTACATCAATAGTATTTCATATTCTCAACATATTTCTCAATCGATGCTTCTTCTCTTTGTAAACACAGAATTAACTGGAATATTTCTACGCGCGTTTTGTGGACTTTTCACTACAAATTAACGAGAGCTAAGTGTCGTACAACTAAAACAAAACAACATGTAACGCAGCCTTCGGGTCCGCCATCTTGTTTTTTTAAAATGAGTCAACAGGTATTCTCTGTTGGCCAGTTAATACGTTAATGCCAGCAGGACGTCGAACCCAGATTGGGGATTTTCGTTGTTTAACTAGCAAAATGAAAGGGCCGTTCTGTGGGCGTTGTTTGTTTTATCTTTAAAAAATTATTCTCGCGTTGCTGCGATATTTCGGATAAATGTTCTACTAACGTAGTGAGGTATTTCCTGCTATCTCGTGAATTTCCAACGTCTTCGTTTGACAGATTGTCGGTGTGTGTATGCGTTCGTTCCACGTGAATTCTTTGTTTAGGCACCGGTCATGTTTCTGACAAGCATTGAAATTGCGAGGTGGTAGCAGTACCCTGGTGCATGGTAAGTTGATTCTCACCTACAAATTTCATGCGTATCAATATTATTCAGATTGAACTTTCACATAGAAATATTCATATAATCGAGTGTCAGGATAACCACAAACTATCGCGTTGTCGTTGGTCTTCGCTGTTCTGTTATTTTTGGTAATTTCGAAGGGAATATCTCTGTGATGCTTCCTCGCAATGATATACTTGCCAGGTGATACAAGTTTTGCGAAAAAGTTCTGAACAACGATCAAAACAAAGGATAGAATTCGATTCGGAGTTCGTGTATGATTTATATATAGGGTGGCTCGTATAACCAGCATCAATTGAGTATCTAAAATCATCCTGTCTTCTAATTTTGTACTGTCGAAAATTCCTTAAGCATATGTTTAAATTCATTTTCGTCGATTCTTCATAGAAAACGAAACAAGTGTTGACTTACAAATTGATGAAAACTTTGAAAAACGAATTATTTATCTTAAAAAATGCGCGCTTTTTCTTTAGATTATTTGTTTTGAGCTATTGTTTCAAAAGTACATTGTAGAACGATATAATAATAAAAAGCCAAGATGGCCGAAATACATTTACAAACAATTTTGTGAATAAATATACCTTATTGCTTGCATATAATTTGTTTGTACAAATTTTTATAAATGTTACTAACAAAATTTACATGTGCATTCATGGATAATGTCGTGTAATTAATATATACATATATATATATATATATAATACTATAAATGTATAATTCTCTTATCATTATATTTATCTCTTTTATAGTAGATTACTGCTTTTATTTCGTAGATCTATTAATTAATGTGGATGTTTATTAAATAATTCTTCGACCGATAAATTTATTTAACGTAACGGTAACAAAATTAAAATCCAACATTTCGTTTCGATGCGTTTATTATTATTTATTTAACAAATAATAATTGAACGAAGGAAATGATAATTTTCGTTTTGTACGTAAAAAAATTCTTATAATTCTTGGAGTTCATAAAATGTCATTGTGACGCTTAATTGTCACCGAAACAAATTTTTGGCGACTCGCTTTTTATCGTTTGACAGGAGAAAGAGTTATCCCGAGATTCTCGTCTGATACACTGCGGTCTCTCTTTTCTTTTTTATTTCCAAGCAGCGCGGAAAGCCCGGGACGGACGGAAATTCAAAGGACGTCGCGGCTTCTTAAAATTTCAGAGACACGAGTTACAAAAGAAATTCAATGGAAGTAGGCGGTCACCGTAGTTCACTCGAGTACTCGACTGCTTTGTGTCGTACCTTCGATTCATATTAGTACTTTGTCGAATTTATAACCAGTTCTGAGCACCGCTGAGGGAAATGTACTCCCAAAATAGTGTGAATAGTAAATATTAAATAATATAGTAAAAAAAATATTCTTCTTTCTCTTTCTCTTTCTTTAAACTTTCATTCATAAATTTTGACTAATTGCCAAAGATGTCGCAGTAGGAGAGTTTGTCTTTGAAATAAACAACCGTGAACTTTTTTTATTAACTCTAGATGAGATAATTTTTATTAAGAATTTTGTATTTTTTCGAAATATTTATTTGATTTGAGAAATTTGATTTGAATTTGAAGTTTTCAAGATTGATCAGATTGATAAGGTAACGCTATAGCATAGGAAATGCTAGAAAAAAAATTGTAATCTCGTCGGAAAGAAATTCGCGATAGGAAGTTAATCGCACACGCGCGAATCCGGAACTGTGCGCATGCGTGCACGCGATCGACGGCCGCGTGTGAGTTATACGCGTTTCTCGCTTCGAATTGTCGATAGCGCATTTCAGCCAATGTTTACGCTATTTATTTAGACTGCATCGCAGTTTTACGCCAAACACATTTCGTGTTTCCTCTGTGAACCTCCAATGGAAACCAATCGTGATTGTCGATATAAACGCGGCGCAAATACACACCTCTGTATATTTTCATTTACAAATGGATACGTTTTGAAAAAAGTAGCACCGGGGATGAAACGATGATGCATACAGAGAGAATATTTCATTGCGAGATCAAATGCTACGGGATGAATTTAATGGCTGTTTTAATATCTTAATGTTGTTTTAAGCAACGAAAGGAAGAAGAAAATATCTTAGGGAAAAATAAAAGGAGAGACACAATCATCCATTTATTTTATAGATTAAATGGATTGCTCGGTACTTTCATTCGCGGGTTAAAATGATTGAATTTGGTGAAAAATTGTTTGGCCTTTGAGTTTCTTTTTTTTCTTTGCAACAACTTGAAAATGATCTAGTCTCATCTCGTGAGAATGCGACCAAAGGTTTCAGCTTGACTTTGAATGGAAATTCTTCGTGGTCGAGTCATGCTGTCATTAATGGAGATTCAAGAATCCCTAAAACATTTATGTGTGGCTCGTCAGAGTCTTTTTTGCTTTCACATTATTTTTACGTTTCAAAATATATCATTGCTTCATTTATAGATAGATATAAAACGTCTACATCACGCCTGTAACAACGTAATTTCGTGTCTTTTGTATTTTGATATCGCAATTCCGTTTTTACCGTTTTACTTGAGCGTGTCTATCTCGAATTATTCAAGTTACGTTCGTAAGGATTCTCGTGAGACTAAAAGGTTGGTCGATACTTACCTCTCGAAAGTATCCAGACGTTTAGAAATTCGGATTACTCGGATAATTGGAAGTTTATCGCGACTCTCGTGTAATTCGATCTTCGACTAAGTTAGCTTGAAGTTTTCGTGGAATGCTACAGATTGTTTAATAGGAAGGGAGAACCAAGTATTTTTTAATGGGCGAAGTAAACGGATTTAGTACACCAGTTTGTTTCATAGAATTAATATGCAACTATAGTAAAATTCAAAATCACCTGGATTCATTAATTATTATTTACTTCGCCATATACTTTACTCTCGTGAAACATTCACAAAGCAGAGGAACGATATAATACAAAGCTTCTATTAAGCATTATTTATGCAATAAAGTTGGAAACTTGTGCAAATTCATACTTGAAACTTAAATGGAGTTTATACCCTTTTTTTTTTTAGTTTTTATATATTTTTTATTTTTATTTTATTTTTCTTCTTTCAAATTTTTGCATCTCGAGAATTTTTACAAATGCACAAACCTTTTCAGTTTGAACAAATAGAATTTGTAATTAAATGTGTTAAATGTATATTATATACGTACTATGAACATTTTATGCATTTCTGCATGTTTAAATCTTTAAGTAAAAGTAATCAGTCTGCCGAATTCTCGTTATCCCATCGAGTGTTAATCCACCCCTATTGTCCTCCATTTACTTCGTTTGTTGCTTTGAGACCGACACCGATAATAATCGAAAGTTGTTTTATGTCGGTAGGGTGGCCCTCCATCAGGGATGGCGGGGAAAGATGGGAAGGTGGAGCCAAAAAGCGGGGACGTGGTGCGACAGGGGTTCATGGTGAAGCGTTCGCAGAACAAGAAACGCTTCACACCCGTCAACTACAAGCAACGCTGGTTCGTCTTGACGAGGCGCTACCTCGTCTACTACGACGGCGATGGGGAAGTACGTATACCGAGCTTTTTCTTTCTTTTTTTTTTCTTTCTTGCAATTTCGAGACCGTCACGTTTTATCCAGTCCCTTCTTGCCCTGTATATTTTTCCATTATCGCCCCATTAACGGTTACTCTCTATTGCCGCCCGAAAAAACAAAAAAGAAAAAAAGAAAAAGGAAAAGGAAAACGCTCTATTCCATTAACGATCCGAAAAGGGGCTTCTCTTTGTAAATAAACCGATAACCGAATAGACGAATAAAATAGACAAGCAAAAAGTTCGCTCTCCGTGTAAACAGACTGTTTTGCAGCTAGACCGCGGACGCCTATGCAATTTGCACGTTTTTGTGAAAATAATTCTCGCGAGAATGGAGACGGTGTCTAAGTAAAAATCGATTTTCGTCGCTGAATATCTTCTTGATGCTTTCAGCGTTATTTTGCATTATTTTTACATTTTTACAAATCTCTCGTGTAAATGCACGAAGCTCGAAGCTCGAAGCTAGACGAAGTTTGATAAAGGGGAAGAAATTGAGCGAAGAAAACCATCTGTTTCGTATCTCGATGAGCAACCCTTCGTTTGCTCTTGATTTCACTTGTCGGACATTCGCATAACTTTAAGGCCTTATTGATTTTACCACTTCGAAGCTGTTTAATACCCGAAACGCCGCGAGTAACCATTGTTATTCCCTACGATTTCCTCCCCTCGAAGTCCCGAACGAGTTACGAATTCCTGGAACGATCAAACCGAGACTTCCATCAAGCAAAGTAGGTTCCAAGATTTTCGAGACCTGGTCCGCCAGGTTCGAGTAATTTGCCTTTCAATTCGATACATCTAACCGTGTTTGCAACCTCGCCTTCTCACTGGCCTGATTTCCGTCGCGGTAACAATCATCGAGGATTGTCTTCCCCGGAACCAGGTCGCGACGTGTCTTTCTCTTAAAAAAAAAAAAAAAAAAAAAGAAAATTGCCATCGAAGGAACGTAACCGATGCCCGATTTGATAATTGCTTTGAAATCGGCCACGTATCACGGGTCTTTGGCGATCATCGCTAAATTTCCGTCGGAATGTTGTCGGCAACGATTCAGAAAACGAGACGAATCGAGACGAGGGCGTGTGTTGGCGTGTTTAATGCTCGTTGAGAACGCGCAGAGACGACAGTTTCGAAGCTTCAGGGTGGAGAACGGCTTTGCGAGGCGCTGAATGGAGCGAGGTGACAGGCAAAGGTCTTTAAAAACTGGGAAAAGCTGAACGTGACTTAGATTCGATGGCAACGCGTTTTAGACGAGAAAAAAANAAAAAAAAAAAAAAAAAAAAAAAAAAAACGAACAAGAGTGGTCTTAGCGTTTCGATTTGAACTCTGGTGAAAGTACCTCCTCAGTTTTTTTTTTTTTTTTGTTCGATGCGCTTTGTTTCTGTTCGACGATTTGTCGCGACAATTTCTTTGCTGTACCGTTTCTTTCTCTTTAATTCTTTCTTTTTTTTTACGCGCAACTAGCTTTGTTAAATATCGCTCGAAGTTTAAACTCGACTCTATCGTTTTTAATTCTTTTTAGAAAGAAAAGAAAATGAAATTCGTTTAATTTGAAAAGGAACGCGCGTGTCTTTTCGATATTATATTAAAAGCAGGAAGTTTAAAGGGAAAGAGAGCTGGATAAAAAAAAAAAGGAGACGCACAAAGGTTAGAAAATGGTATTAAAAGGTAGATCAAACAATCGGAGCTGAGCATCCGACCGTGTGCAGTGATGGTTACGAGCCGAAATCGAGCTCTTGTTTCTTTTATCTTCTGTTTCGTACTGGCAGCCAGTCCAGCGGAGTGTAACGCTCCAAGAGGCAATCGAAATCGATAGTTAACCATCGTGGAACATCATCATCGGTTGCGCTGGATTACTGTTCACGCGAGAATTGATAGCGGCTGAAAATCAGCTGCGTTAATTTCCACCCGAACGTCATTGTTGTTCTCCATCGAATGACCGACCGTCATAATGATCCATGTTTATGCGTTCGAAATACATATAAATCTATGCTTGACTGTTTTCGAACAACTTCGAATCGTCTAATCTTCGTTCTTTGTTAGTAAAAAAAAAAAAAGGAAGGAAGTAGAAAAAAGATATACGTACATATCGTGAGTCCTAAACTCATAGATAACACAGTTTATCTTCTATGAAAATACAAAGTTTCCTCGTTGCGGTCTTGTTTCTTCGTTTCGTCGTTGTATCTTCACGTGTGGTAGGTAAGAGACAAAAAGGTGGGCGTTCAAATATCTCGGAAGAATTTTGAAAAGGGACGCCATATGGCGATGCAAATGACGGGGAATAATAACGCTGAATTTGCTGGTGGCATGCCTCGAATCAGGGCCAATTGCTTTATACACATTACCTTGCGCTTGACAAGCACCACTAGCGCTCCCGGATACGCTAGACTCATCATATTATCTCTGGCCGGCTGATAAAAAACCGCCTATTATTCCCTATGGTTCCTCTCTGGCTTAACTTTAGATACTTTGTTCGGTCACGAGAAATGGAAACGAAAACGGAAGCGAGATGCTTTCGCAGTAGCAAAACCTTTTTTTTTTTTTTTTTTCTTAAACGTGCACGCACGAAAATATCGATTTATTGAATGTCGCGCTATTTGATGAAATTACGCGAAAGTATTGTTTATTTTAAAAATTTTATTATTTTAAAAATAAGACACGTTTAAAAGCGAGCTTTGTCCGTTCTACCAAAGATATTCTTTCTTTTTTAAATATCGATAACATAAATAAATCGCCGTGGCATGGAAAAAAAGTAGCATATTAGTTCTCTTTTTTTTTTTATCGGTCCACGTTCTCGCTCTTCGTTTTTTTTTCGTCTAACGAGCTTGCACAAAGAAATTTTCTCAACGTGAGAACGGCAAGGCACGCGATACATCATCGTTATACTCTGTTAAAAGAAACTTCATTAGTTCGTTATACACGGTGTTCCCAATAAAAGTACATTCGATCAAAAAGTCTTTCCCACAGCCTCGGTACGTGAAAATGGCGATTGAAGTGGTCGGCTGTAAAGAGGCAGCCTTCACTTTCCAAGCTATTTTAGTAAACCGACAAAAATCAACTCATCAACTCATCAAAGTCACGTATAATCCACTACAATAAATCCTGGTGGCCTTCTAATACTCGTAATATGCCAAACTTTCGATCATGAAAATTATATACATCTTACAAAATTATATCTGTTATATTAAAATTATAATACACGAAAATATACATAGACATATATATATATATTTCTTTCCAACGAACACAATTCGTAACCTGCTAATATTCCCAGTATATATCAATCGTTTGCATTTTTTCGAACACGAAAATTATACACACGTACTTTTCTTTTCCCTCTTCCAACGAGAATACAATTCAAGTGCCTCCTTATTGCTGCAAATTATTCAATTAGAATTTCCGACTCTCCGAGCTCCGATACTCGTGCACGAACTCCAGAGAACTAGAGGATCGTTCGAGGCTGTGGAAACGCTCGCATAAACACGCTTACGTAACCCGGAAAGTAGGTAGAACGCAAACATCCATGAAACAGCGACCACTTCCCAATTCCCTGCAATAAATTACAAACCGAAAGATCAGCGCAATCGGCCACTGGACACTCGACCCGCGCGATTGCCACGGCCTGACCATTTACAGATATATAACTGGCCAAAAAAAAAGAGCCTCTACCACTGCTCTCGCGATCGTAGTTCCCTGGAATTTCTCTGCTCTTCTTACTCGATCTGTTTCAATCTTCCCTAAATGCTTTTCTTTCTTTTTTTTCCCCTCCCTTTTTCTTTCATCGGCGCGTTGAAAATTTCGTTTGTCCGAGGTTTGAGGCACCGGACGCTCCGAGCTTTCATTAAATATTTATCTTTCGTGGCTGAAGTGCAAATAGAGCAATTGGATGGGAATTTGGGTTTTATTTCACGACGTTATTAATTGGATTAAAGTGTGCTTTTTGCGCGTTCGTGACTTTCTTCTTTCTTTTTTTCTTTCTTTCACAAGAGATAAACGTAGAATAACCGAGAAATCTAAATGAAATTTTCATTTCATTCTCAACCGGTCCAGTCGAATTTCAATATTTAATTCATTAATCCGATAACCATTCGTTCTCATTTCCGAAACGAAATCACTCATCATCTTGTTACTTTGAGAGCGCGATTTAACAGAGAATTTCCTCTCTTACTTTGTATCTTTTTTTTTCTTTCTTCTTTTTCGATTGTAAAATCTTTTTCCGTTGATTGCCGAATCATCTAATCGCGATGTTCACTTATTTTTCATGCCAAACTGCCATCCATTTTTGTTCTTCAAAACCTAATCGTTCACCTCTACTGAATGGAATTAAAAGGAAGGACCTCCCCGCGACGGGGTGGAATCTTTAATTAAAATCTCTTTATTCCGTCACGTTCTACGCTCTCTTAAAAGCAATCGCAAATCTCTAATTTCCCCTCGATATCACCCACAGGATCATCATTTCGCATCAAACATCAAATTTAATCGCGATATTAAACCCCGTCCGACCCCCATCGCTTAAACCGTGCCAACCATCGCCTCGTTTTCCTAAATACGAATATTATACATACATACATACATACATACATACATACATAATACATACATATATATATATATATATATATATATATATATATATATATATATATATATATATATATATAAAATCACCGGAAGCAGCAACCCTCTGGTATCCTTCTCCCTTCTCCATCCTCTTATCCTGCTCTATAGTTCTCTACTCGGTCATGGTTAACGGTGGTAGTTACCTGCGTAGAAATACGCAACCCCGTTAGCTGGTAGCGAAGCCAGCAGGCTGTGCTCGGTGGTGGTAGGGGCTGCTTAGGGGTGGATATAACGTGCTCGTAGACCATGTGTAAAATTGGTAGCGCAGGCGCCCCGGGGGCCGCCACCGCCACCTTCTCTTCATCCTTTCTTCCACCGCGAGTTCCTGACGCTGCTCCGCGGCTCAGTCAGTGGTCGTCATCGGGATCGCTCTCTCTGCTGCTCGCGATTCATTCACATCGAGCGAGATATATCCAAACAGTACTCTTTAACTTTGCTGATTTTGTTCCTCCGTTGTTTCTCGTCGTGCTGTCGAGCGAACGAAACTCATTTCGTTTCTAAATCTTCGTTGGTGATCTCTGTAACAACTATCCGTCAAGAAATAAAATTCCGTCGATACTCTGAGATACGCGTCGTGTGTTCGCCAAGATACGATCTACGACCGAGTACACCCGCCGGTATCGATCCGATGTTTGACGTTGAATCGCGGACGATGTCCTCGCGTTCCGTTTGATCTCCGTTCGAACGCAAACAGCACACGAAGGGCAGGGTTACTACGAGGCTTCTCGAGAGTAAAGGATATCGTATTTGTCCATTCGCATTCGACTCGAGTTGCAAGGGTCTTTCGAGATTCGGAAAAACCGATCAGCTTCAACTCGAAAAGGAGATACCAGAAGCGGAGAGCAGCGGTTGGATACTTGGAGAGAAGCAATCGTCCAACTTACTATCCACCCCTTTACGAGAGACTGTCCGAAGGCTATCGATCGACGATCCATTATACCCTCGAAAAGTGTATTAGTTCGGGGAAGTTCGCCCATCCGTGATATCCAACATTCCGCCGCGAGATTCACCGAGACAGAGGCCGTTTCAACGGGTTCCCTGGAATTAATCCATCGTCGGAAAGTTTTTCTAATTAATCTTTCGGTTCCCTCGGATCCGGTTGGCAGCAGTCGAGAACCACCGAAGAACGAATCGTTATTCATCCGGGGTATCCTCGACGCCTCGAAAGGAGGTCCTTCGAATCTCCTTCCGGAAAGTTCCGGTCGTTAAGGCGGAAGATTAATCCGCAAGACTGCGATAGATCGCGGCCGGTTTCATCAACCAAGTTCGACGCGCCTTCGGCAATCGAAACGACAGGATTCTCGTCGTTTTTGTCTCGGGGCCGACATTTCTCTCCACGTGGGAGAAGCGTCGCCAGTTGTGCTGCCTGCTCGTCGCGATCGAACCTCGTCGAATCCTTCGAGACTTCTGCGAGATCGTGGAGGTAAGATCGACCAGTTCCACGCAGGGATTGTTTTTTATGTGAGGAAAATGTCGCGTCGAGCTTTCCTCTTCTTTCTTTTCTTTTCTTTTCTTTTTTTTTTTTTTTTTCAATCGTCGGTCAAATTCTTTCTGCGCTTTTCGCCGGATCGTTTCTTTATAAGGGGCTGTCACTGAAAACGTTGGAGAGTGGTCTTCTCCTATTCGCTGGCTTCGCATTTTTTTTTTTTTTTTTTCGTTGACAAATCGAGAAAAGTTCCGATCGTTTGGAAAGTTACGAAATTTAGAGTTGGGCTTGAAGATTTTTAAGGATCGAAGTGAATCGCGTGGAAACGAACAACGTGAGATTGAAGTTGAAGAAGCCGCGAGCCGATTTTAAAAAAATTTCAGACTTTCTTTAAGAAGATAGTTGCTTTTGTGATTCTGAACATTCCCTTTGAGGGAAAGTCACCCTTTGTTTTTTTTACTATATACTTTCTAATATGTGAAGGGCTATCAGAAGCTAATCGGCGTAAGCCACTTTTTATTAAAGTCGACTTGTGCCGTACGAATGCAGTATGATCATTATTAAACTGCAGATTTTCGATGCACTTGTAGGAAATTTTAAAAATTGCACCGAATGCATGTAACAGAAAAAGTATACAAAATATCCAAAGTGTAGTGCTTTCAACAATATTTGGCACATAAAACAATTTTCATTCGAAGTTCTATTTTTTTTTTAATTGCAATTGTGTGTTGTTCTATTTTTTTTCAATTTTTGTAATTGCGTGTATCATGACGATATTATAATATGTTCATTACGATATAATTGTTGTGACGTAATAAATATTATGATATAACATAATAAATATAACAATGTCAAAGATGATACAAATAAATACGATAAACGTAGACTGAAGATTTTACGAACGAAAGAGCATCTGCTCGACTGGGACAAGTCGTTTTTAATTAAAGATAAATTGTGCTGATTGCTTTTGGAACATTCTGCAGATGAAGGATTACTTCGGTGAAAAAAAAAAAAATGGTCGAATCTTTTAATTTATTAAATGAAAATCCCATCGTCGTTCAAACGGGCATACCAGGCACGGACGAAAACACGAGCAAAACTCTTTATTAGAGAAATAAATAATCAGCGGAAAACGACGTGAACTAATTGCGCCGTGCAGCTGTAATTAACTTCGCGTAACGGTACGTTTCCTAGATTTAACAAACTGTCACGCGTTCCACACGTGAAAACATGTATCGAAACGGAGCAGAGGATCTTTCACAACGATCCCATTATCGTACGACTTTCAGTCCGCAAGGGATGAAAAACCGCCGAGAGAAATCGATCCATCGCGAGATGGATGAAATCAAGAATGTTCCTCGTTTACGCGAATAAATACGCGGTCTCGCGTTTCGCTGCGGTGGAAAAACGAGATATTTAATTAAAATTAGCCTCGTTGTTGCTCGTTGTTATTCCTCGCGGGAGAGAAAGAGGAACAAAAATGAAGAGAAAAGAAAGAAACAGAAAGAAAGCGAAACCTGGATGGGGAAGTTGGTAGTGGCTTGTTGCGAATGGACCGAATAATTCACCGCGGATTTTTTCACAAAGCTCGGATTTCTGCCTTCCCCCGGCTTCACCCCTTCGCCCCCGGTTTTTTCTTTTTATTTCTCCGGATCCTGAACGCATCGCGTCGTTCATCTCTCTCTCTTTCTCTCTCTCTCCATTTTCTCGACTATTCGAATTAGAACGAACTAATCTGGACAAACGGGAGGAAAACACGAGACAGAGGGTTGACGTGTGAAGGAGGTGAAAGAGCGTGGCTCCACGCGGTACCGGAAGCCGGCGAATTTAATAAAGACGTCGTCGTGCGGGACGCCACTCGAAGAGCCTAATGAAATTTTCCAACGGTCGACGCGTTTCTTTTCCGCGGAACGCGGAAACGCAGCCAAGCGGTCTCGAGGGTGGTCTGTTTTCCAGGCTTTATTAAAGTTTATTAGGGCATGGACGTTCACCGCGTCCGTGTGTACGCCCGGATCTTTTTGCGTACGCCCGGGAGCTACTTTTGTTAAGGCGGGCGCGAGGGTGGAAGCGTGGGTGTTTGTAGAATTATCGGCGAGTTTTTTATTCTTCTGTCTCTTTCTTAATCTCTTGCGCGCTGGAACGACGTGCCACGCACGTCGAGAATTTTTTGTCCCGAAATAATTTCAATATTTCCTTCAGTTTTGAGTATATACACAAGCTTCGATTTGAACAAATAAAAGTACTCTAAAAGTACGCTGTTTACATCTATAAAATTACTAACAAAAAAAAAGAAATTATAAATCAT